GAGTTCGTGCCTGACCAGTCTGAGGCCGGAGCTTTACGAGCATTGTTGACCTCATACAGTGCGATCCCCACACCATGCCACATTTCTTTGTTTGGGGAAAGGATGATGAGAAGTTTCACTGGGATTTGGCAAGTCTGCAAAGAGGTTCCTCGTCAGATAAGAGTCAATTTCGTCCGATAAGAGTAGCTTTCGTCCAGGCCGACAAGAAACTTCAAACAGCAGTGGCTCTTTCATACTCTTCTTCGTACCCATCCACAGCTCCGCAGCGGAAATTCAAAACCTTTGGAGCCTGCAGCCCTCGCAGTCGAAATCATCATTCCTACATAATCCCATACGGGCTAAGTTGTCTGTTCAGGCTTGAGAGTTCTTCCGGACTGGTGGCAAGCGCATTTATGCAGTGCCCCGTTGGATTGATCATGCGTCTCAGTCTGTAGACTTGCCGGACTGACATGATTATAAATCCTTCCTCTAAGTGCACACTCCCTGAAGCAACTCAAGAAAGGGTGACGCGTCATCCCGAAAAATTCTTGAGGGGTCCAGGAAGAGACCTACAGGCCAAGATCCTCATGCATTCAAAATTGAGACCCTAAGCGGTCGGAGGTGAACACTGAGTTCATCCAGGTGGACCAAGACACTCGTGACATGCTCAAGGAGAGTTCAGGGGCTTTCTGCCTGGGTGTCTTTTGGGGTACTGATGATGAGGAGCATCATTTTGGGAGTAGAAAGGGCGACCGTGCTTTGGCTGCAACACCCATATGGCACGCAGCTCAATCTTGTCAAGAAGGGTTCGGTAGGAGGTCTTTCCAGCCCATGTTAGTGCGTTCTAAATTAGGGTTCGGAAAGGGTTCTTCGTAGTCCTTGTCAAGAATTGCTTCTAATCATGGCGGCCATTTCGCAGTCACGTTGTAGACCCCGAGAGTACAATCCTTTTCAAGAGGGGCTGCAAATTGGAACCAGCATTGCAATTTCTGAAAGATCCCATCTACCTACCTTCCCTAGGGCCCCCAGGCATAGGAGATCCTTCTTGAGGGTTGCTTCTGTCCTAGCACTTAACCATCGCAGCATGATGACGAACAAGAAAGGGACACGACATAATTGTACCTGTTCTGTCTTACCTGCAAGACTACTCTTTCATAGGCTGTAGCTTCCGAATGCTTACCAGGCTCGTGGGGCAAGCAGGTGGATAACATTCCAAATCATGTTTTCAATCATGCGGGTAGGCGATATGTAGCAACACAACTAGCAAAGCTTTGACAATCATCGGAATGTGGCTGTGCCGAACAGGGATTCGCCTCCAGCGATTCGTTTTTTACGGCGTAGCACCCTGCTGCAATGTCAGACTCTCCTCAGCCTACCCAACCTCGGAGTAGTCATGCGAGTGGGCATTCTAAAAATGAATGTAGTTCCAATACTGGCTTTGCAGTATGGATCTTCGTGCTGATGGTGCAAGTCGCTTGCCCTCTCCTGCGACCACACACCCTCAATGCAGAATATCAGGAACAAGAATAGCCATACAATGGTAGTAGCTTAAGCAGAGCAATAATACTCAGCAAACCTATGCTATTGAGACAGCGACAGGCCTCAGCCCGGAACCTGCTGTGTGAATGGCAGGAGCTGGACATGGACCGCCTCCCGAACATCACCACCTCCAACACCACCCTGGTGGGCATGACCATGCGCACGGGGCCCAGGTTCCCCCATGTTGCTGAATGAGTAGAAAGATCTGGAAGTAGTGCTCCTTGGGCGGCATGGAATAAAGTGGGTCGAGCAAGAAATTGGTTGGAAAGTATTTGGTAGGTGATCAGTCCCATGACAACATTTGAGACCTTGAATGGCTTGCGGGAACTTGACCTGCCAGTCTAGCATTTGATCAAGGACGACGCAGTTTTCCTGAACATAGCCTCCTGAAGCAGTTCTATCTATGGCTTGCATACATTCCTCTTGCCCAGGCCCTCTAAGCTTGCCTGATCAGAGGGGACAAGCAAGCCCCATGCAATAACTGAGGAGCAGCTCTGTTTTCTAACTTGCGTTGAAACAAGGGTCTGAAGGGGGTCTCAAGTTTCAGTCTCTTTCTGGCGCGAGTCTAAACATCTTGGAGATCTAGAATATTGCTGGATTCAGCTTTTGCCAGGCGTAAGGGCTGCTGTAACTGCTCATCTAGCCCTGGCACTCGAACCTGAGACTGCCAGAATACATTTGCTTCACCTTATAATGTTAGTGCCGACGCGCACTCACCATACCAAGAACGAGCGTCAGCATGCTCTTAGGATTACTTGAGGGAGGAAATCTTGCACTGTTCTTTCCAGTGTTAGGAGTACATCGTGTAGTGCAAGATATCATGCATCCAAGGCATAGTTGCAACCACAATGTCTAGTAGAACCTCTTGCCTCGGCATCAAGAATTCTGGTCTCAGGCAGGCACTGAGCGCCTCAACCTCGCGGATTGGCAGCATCTCCCACAAAGCTATTTTGAATGTGCCAAAAAACTGCTCAGACAAAGGTTTGCAGTGAGCGGTATGGGGACGAAGGGTCCTGTTTTTCTTGGATTGGGGCGGTTCAAGGTTTGATGGTTTAATGGCTCAGGGCCTTATCGGTATGTTGAGAGACATTGGGACATGAGGCCTCTTCTCATTCCGAGAATCATCGTTTCTCATGATGTGTAGCATGATTTATAGCTTGTTTCGGACATCCACAGGTTCAAGCTGCAAGGCGCTTTTCCCTAGGGCTCCCAGTTACCTAAATAGTAGGGTACTGGGCTATGTAACTATAGGGCCTATAGAACCCAGTTCCCATTATTTAGGTAACTGAAGCCCTAGGCTATCCTATCCTAAGTATGCTTAAGGAACACTAGTGAGAGCAAGCCGCGCAAGGGTAGCCTCAGCATGAAGATCTCTTCTCAATCGTGCTGTCATGTTGACCGCCAGGGTACAGAAAGCTCGTTGTCACCAACTATGATGTGGAAGATGCGGAGGGTTCTTAGCACATGCGGCGCCTATCTATGTTCAAAACCTCAGTTAGAGCGAAGAAGATCTCTTATCATGGGACGAATCGTGCAGGAGGAAGCTCAGGCGGGTTCAAGGCTAGACATCCATTGCCACCCAAATGGCCCAACAGCCTTGCAGCACTTCGAGCGCATGAAATACAGGCATGGATCTTGCCTTCCGGAGTTTCCATAAGCATGGGTCGTTCATGCAGACCCCCCGATGCATTGCAATCGAGATCATACGCCCTCGTGAATGGAAACCCCAAATAGTACTTGTGCCAAGATTGTGAGGCCACCCCCCCAACTGTTAGAATTACTCTTTTCAGAGAAGCATAAAGAACGAAACCTCCAGCACCCTTGAAATCCCCAACTCTTAGAAACTAAGGGAGAGTGTACCAGAACCCTAACTCCAAAAGCCTAAGACCAGGTTCTAGGAGGATTCATAGGAGCTTCTCAGGATGACCTTGATTTCTTAAGAGGCTGCTTGCTTATATGAGCTATAGTTTAAACTCCTTAAAGAGGGATTCTGTAGGGGATTATATATGGGAGTACCCTAGGGCTTATGAAGGGGGATACTAGGAGTTTAGACAGTGGCTTATATAATCCTTGTGGATTTCGAAGTGTAGGCCCTTGGTTGAGGGATGTTCTGGCTGTGATTCCAATTTTGTGCATAAAAGAGCTGCAGCAGTTCGGGCTCTCACTATGTAGGCTTTTCTTCGTGTAGGACCCCACTCTCGGGAGGCTACATTACTTGTAGCTTGGTCATCTAGGCTCCTGGACTCCACAGTTCCTTGATAAAGCTGGATTTTCCTGTCTTCCCAAGGTCCTCAATCAACCCAAACTCTGTGATTTTCAAATGCTTGTTGACAATGGCTCCGACTGGCGATTTGCTGCTCAGAAACCATGGTTGAAGTGGCATCTTGTTTGAGCATTGCTTAGCCAGTATCCCTACAAGATGCTTCGGCAGTGGTCAACATTCGTTTTCGGGCAGACCTTGGCAGGAACAAGCACACTAGACAAGCCGCATTGGTTGTATACTCTATTGAGATCGAGCCACATGCTTTCAACAAGAATCCGTGTCAAAGTGGCGAGAACCGGGATGTCGGATAGCACGAGGGACTCCTCAAAACAGCAGCTGGTCTAGCAACGCCATCGACAACTATCACTAGCATAGTCACAAGAGCGATCATAGCAACATTTAGAATCAAGAGGCCTGATGGTCTGCTCTGGCGAGCTCCCATGGCAAGTGATCTCGGCCAGGCAACCTGTGGATTTGGTGTCTGCTTAGTCTTCCCGCCTTGGAACGGAAGCGCCTTCAGGAGAGTTCCACTGGATCCTCAGCCTATGCTTCCTTAGGCCCCAAGCCCTTACTCCAGAAACACGGCTGCTGGAGGCTTGCCGTTGTCCAGTGTGCTCCCGCCGGCTCTCAGGCAAGGGGCCTGGAGATTGAACAAAAGGGTTCATTATTTAGGGTTCCGAATAGTAGCCCCTATATCATCCCCATTAACACACCTGTTTCGATCGTTTTTTCCAATCCCATTCCCTGCCCTAGACCCAGCTCTAGACCCCGAACCTTTCCTCCATTCCCTACTAACAATCACCAAGCGTAGCACCACAGAAGCCCTTCTTGTACAGGTCCGCTTGCCTGGCGCCCGGGTGCTGTGAGTCTCGCTGTGCTGGAGCCTGGGTCCCGGTTGTTTTGCTGGTAAACCCTGTCCTTGATGATCTGCCTTCGGGTTTAGTTTTTCCCCTGTTCTTGGATATTGGTTTGAGGGAGGTAAAAGATGCTGGGTCCTGGCTGCTTCTAGCCGGTTCTAGCCCTCAGGACAGGGAATAGCTTGTTCAGCAAGGCATTGTGGGGTCGGTGGGGTGAATAAGGGCTAAAGAGGTTGTGGAGCTTGGACTACTAGACTCCAGACCCTCAACACTTGTCTGACTACTAGAGTGTAAACGTCAACCCGAGGACCCCTGCACCTTGAACCCACAACCCAGGGGTATGCTTTCTGATCCAGACCTGGAATGCCCAAATCCTGCGCCCAAACTTTTCCAAATAAGCCCGCGCCAATGATATTGGGGCATTTTGCTGGAAGGACTCTTATTGCCTATTAATAGTAACCATATTAAGAAACAGGAGCCTCAATGAGAGAATAGTGGTTCTGTGGAAGACTGCATCCTACACAGCTTGACTGTCAGATCGGCACCCCAGCTGCGAGTTCCAAACCTTGCAGGGCGTGCCCCGCAGGCCCAGGGTTTAGGGCTTTAGGGCTTTAGGGCTTTAGGGGCTAATAGTTAGTACTAAGAGTTAGTAATAAGAGTACTAATGTAATAATGATGATAATAATGTTTAGGCTTTAGGCTACCTGAGATGATTTTGCTTAGAGATTGCATGGACGGCTTCCGATGCTTCTCATGCTTTTCTGCCAGCCTATTGACTGTTGTCTGCGCACCAGCATGGTGTGCTTCATGTTTGGCAGAGTGAAAAAGCAGCAAGGCCTACTTCCGCGTTTGAGCCTTCGAGGGGAGTAGATCAGAGAAAACGTAGCGGAACCGGTGACTGCTCGGATGAGGGCTGTAGGCTTGTTCCTTCGAACATGTCAATGATGTGACCATGGTGGTGGGGATTTGAACATGCCGCGTGCCAGAGGTTGCTGATTGCTAAGCTGATTGAGAGAAGGTTCGCGCACAGCATTGTTATCCATGTACGACGACCACGCTAAGCCTCATAGAGCCCAGAAACCGACATGAATGCAGATACTGGTGGTGCTGGTGTACCACTGAATCTGCCTCCAGTCATCTGCAACTACCAACACTACTGTCAGTCGGTTTGCGTGACGGGGAGGGTAATCATTGTGGTGATCTTTTCTGCGTAGTAGTACTAGTAGTAATAAGGGTAGTAATAATAGTGCTAGTAATGACAATACGAATCGTAGTAAGAGTAAGAGTAAGAGTCATAGCAGAGCAATTGCTGATCTCTTGCAAGGGTTTTTGCAGACCACAGCTCCGAATTCGGAAGCCCAAACAGCCAATCTCCCATCTCTAGAATCCAGTCCCTGAACTGGAGCCCTGAAACCTCTACGATTCCCATATCTTTCATCCTCGAAGGTCTGCTTCGAGGGTCATGGGTAGTTCATTCTAGGTTTGTAAGTTGGATAGGTATAGTCATGAGTCATAACCATTAAAGCCCTACCTCTCCATCCCAACCATTCCTAAGCAGACTCAATGTAGGCCCTATGCAATCTCTATCAATCTCTACATTGCGACAGAGTCCCCGCAAAACCTAAACCTTTCATTTGCCCCGCGTACAACCCAACAGTTGTCGCCTCCCAGTAGCTGCAGAGTTGTTGTGATGCATTCTGCATGTTGACGCTGCGTCTAGCAGAAAACATCCCTCTCATATCCTAGATCCTCTCCTGCTGCTTCTGTTCCACCAGGAGGTGCAGGCAAAACCTCCGGAGGAGGTGCGTCGGCCACCAGCGGTTCCCAGGTGTGGGGCTCGGGGATGTAGGCCTAGGGTTGAGGAGTTCTCGCAGGATTCTCTTGGAGTTATGGGCTTATTCAAACACAGAGGTGTTACTTGGACGGCTATGTAGGATGATTGTAGCGGAAGGCAGCCTTTAGGTTTCAAGGACACATATCGGTACAACGTTGAGGATTGCATAGGGCCGGGTAGTCTGTGGAGCATACAGCCTGTTCAGGCAGGAAGTTATCATGTCAAGAGCAGGTCGGTTCTGTCTTTGCACTTATGCTTGGATTTATAGCCAGCAAGTATTTCGTAGTTGTGCTATGGGCTTTTCACAGATTGTTTCGACACTATCATGGCAACAGCCGGCTTCGGGACTTGGAACGGACCGTCTGTTCGTTCGGTATTAGATATGGAATCCGTGCTATCCTGGCGTTGTGCAGGTATTTGCCTGCTTTGGTACAGTGGGAATCTCCATGATCTCACGCTACCCACCTATAAACCCCCAGTTTCCATTTGATTTTCCATTACTGGGGTCATATATCCCTAAACCTAAACCCTAAAACACTATCTAGGGAATGCCAGAGGTCCAAGAGGTTCCGGGGGCGGGAAGGGAGTTTGCTGTGCCATTTTTTGAAGTGTCTCGAGCAATGATGCCCGTGATTCCTGTGTATATATGTACATCTCTATATATATATACATATATATATACACATATACACATATACACACATATATATATATATCTACTTACACATTCCAAACCCTAAGCCCCAAACCCTGAAACCCCGAACGCTCCGCTGGTTGGCCTCTGAAGGCAAAGCCTGCATCCGCCCACGGCCTGCCAGCCAGAAAGCACAGGCCAGGTGCAGGGCAGTGTCATCTTGAGTGTGCAGGATTTCATGGAGTGTAGGGATGAGGATTTAGATTGGGGTAGCCATGTTTCAAACGTCTCCCTATGAGGCGGCAACCTGGCTTTCTCCGGAAGGTCGACTCTAGAACCAACGGGTTCTTGGACATGTTCTTTCCTCTTGCGCCATGTTGGTCCACATCTAGAGGAAGAATCAGTCACAGTTGCGCTGGTGGCTAGGTACTGGTGAAGGTTTCGGATGACGGTTTGGGCTTGGAGGTGCATGTTAACGAGTTTAGGTAGAGGTTATGAGGAATGAGGGGGTGATTTAGGTTTTCCTTCCACCCCAAACCCTGCATCCTGGAAAGGTTTGACAGTTGCAGGCTTTTCGAACCCCGGGACAACTGCATTTTCAGGGATATTATTTACAACGCCTTGAATTCCTCTTCATGAGCCTTCATTGCTAGGCTTGAATTAGGGAGTGGTGTCTAGACCTCACTCAAGGCTTAAAGCACTAAACACCAAAGCCCTTCAACCACCAGGTGCTTCAGCTCTTGGGGCCTCGCAGCCTTTGGTTGTTGTGGTGCTTCCCGAGGCGCTGCAGGATGGGCTCAGAAAGAGAACCCAAACTGGTCTTAGGGTCTTGGGATTTGATTTTCTTGGAGGTTGGGGAGTTTTGGCATGTTAGATGTCAGCATGCTAGGTCTCAGGAATTACAGGGCAGCGAGTTTTGGATGCCGGGGCTTTTATCGTAGGTTCAACCTTTGAGGACTTTGCCGCTTTACCGGTAACCTGTAGAGTGAGTCTCTAAGGCCGTTATCCATATGACACAGAAGTCCAAGCACTTCTGTAGAAGCTATTAGAACCTCAGCTACACACTGGAGGCTTCTCAGAGGATGTTGGACCCATTGTTCCGGGACGTTAAAGTCCATGGGGCCATCTCGCAATGAGCAGGCTGTCTTCGGAGATCAGGACTGGATGCCCTGTAGTTCTTCAGTTTTTAGCAGAGGTTGGCGTTCAAGCCTCTTTTTAGTTGAGGCAGTAGGTTGCGACACATGGTTGTTGGTTCTTGCATGAGCATCCTCGCTTGGGGCATTACCTGCTCTCTTTCGGACAGCCGCCTAGTTGTTGGAGTTACTCCTCAACCTAGCCGAGGTTGACGCTTTGCGTTTTGGGGCTTGGGATTTGATGCTTGTTCAGCGGCAGGGCGGGCCAGGTCCAGGGTTCAGGGATTGTGCGGTGGCCTTCTTTTCGTGCTTTTTTGCTTGAAAGCCGCGTCCTGACACAGCCACCCCTCAATCCGGAACTCCCCGAGCTTCCCATGCACATTCTCAAGCACTTAAAACGAGACAATGATGCCGTAGTTCGTGTTGCACTTGCGACAGATTCATACGGCGTTGGCAATGATAACAACAGCGCGAGCAATACTGTCAGATAATTTCCGACATATTGTCCAGTTGTCACTGCTGGTTTCTCGCGCCCCCATTCATTTTTGGAATTCCTGAAGCGGGCTCCATGTCAATCTTCATGCGAACAGACTGGATGGAGGCACGTAGCGGCTATGCAGCTGCTCCTCTGCAGACCGCCTGTGTGGGCGCCAGCCTGAGGTTAAAGCAGATATAGGAGTTTAGGGTAAGATTTTAGGTCCCTCCGGAGAGCATCTAAGTATTGGATCAAGTACCACAAGAGCCAGAGTAACTTGCATGAGGTGACTGCAGCAGTCCTTGAATGCCTACCTAGCTTACAGTCCCTCGTGAGCAATTCGAAAACTTAAAGACCCCTGAAAGGACAAGTCCAGAAGACCCAGAAGGACTTTGACCCTTAGTGCGCCCCAGCAGTGACAAGGCGCGATGGCAGATGGATGCTGCAAGGACAATGCTAGCAGCCAGTCCTCCGAGGCGAAGAGGGTTAAAGGTTCTGGGAAGTAAGTGTTTAAGTTGTTCAGCCGGGGGGGAGTTGAGGCTTCATCACATTCCGGAGTGTCCAGCTTGTAGATTTCGAGCTGCAGGGCCCAAGGTTTCAGGTCTAGCATGGTGAGGGTGAGTGATTTTGTGGGTGATAATTCGATTAGGCAACAATAGGTTCATAGCTTTCGGGATGTTAGGTGTTCGTTCAGCTTGTTAAGTCTGCTATGGAAAAGGCTGACAGGTATGAACAATTCGTTTGGTTGTAAGATACCTTCCCGTCTTGCTCCCTACCCATCTTGCGGCTGCCAATCCCCTTCGTACAGCCTCTAATCTCGAAATCCGTATGCTGTCAACCCCACTCCCTAATGCAGACCCCTAATTAATAAACCTCCTCCCCTGAATGGAGATTAGAATAAGGATCCTAATATTAGAGCCCTTAAAAGGAGGGGGTTTGTTAATTATAGGTCTACATGACACCCTGAACAGTACAGGCCCGCCGCATCAGCTTGTCTTCAGCTTCTCACGCCTCCTGTGCGGGTGCCCGCCTGAGATTGAGACAGATGTGACGAGTTCCAACATATTACGGGCCTCTTTTTGGAGTCCCTGCAGTAAGGATTGTAAGACATAGGAGTCTATATTTTAGACGTCTACTTCTGGAAATTCCCATCTGCATTGCCACCCGCTTTTGTGGATGTTGGAAGGTCGTGTAGGCATGGTATCTTCTTGTTTGCTTTATAGCAGCTTGGGAAGTTTGTAGAGATTTGCAGTGTTTGTTTGTTCTTGATCCCTTGCGGGGCTGAAGAAGAGAACTAAGTTTAAGATCCCGTTTTGCCATGTAGAGTGTTGCCGTGTCAGAGCACGCAGTAAGGTGCATAACTCAAGTGCAGGACACGCACAGCAGAAGTGCAAGCATCTTGCCTTCGAGTGGCCACCAGGCCCTACGGTCGAGCCATGCCTCTTGGGCAACGTTGGCGTGCAGTCACCAGAGGCGCAGAAGCCTGTCAGGATTTGAGGCGTATGGCGTTTGGGGGTATGGCTTTAAGAGATTCGTGGCCTGGCTGGAAGCCTGCAAGTGCTTGTGTTGTTGAGGGTCTAGGGTTCAGTCTCATCTGGTTGCATAGTGGGACCCAATTTGGACGGGGACAGGATTGCTGACGAGAATGTGCCTTACCACTCACACAAGGACAGCAGTGTTATTGACAAAGCTTTTGCGTTTGACACCATGTCTGGCTGTCAAGGTAACAATCTATTTATAGCTGATGGTCATCTTGCGGGCTCAAACATCTCTAATTTCAATCAGTTTTTGTGGCCTACAGATCGCCCAAAGCCGTCAGTGCTAAGCCCCAGGCCAGATTTGAAGCCCCAAATTTTGAAAAGAGGCATGAACAGATAGTCAAGGTCCATGCCACAACAAAGCAAGACAAAAAAGATAGGGGTTTCAAAAAATGCGTGATGAAGGGTCACCTAGGATGAAGATCCTGGGGTCTTGGGTGGGTTTCATCCTACCTGATACTAAATCATTTGAAATACGGGTGTGTAAACGAGCTGAAGTGTTGGGACTACGTAAGCCAAACTTAAACAAGATCCCAAGGACTATCCTCACTCCAACATTTCTGCCCTCATAGCAAGACCCAGAGCCTTCACTTTCACCAAAGATCCTGGAACAGGTATCCTGAACTGAAATCCACAACTCTGGCCCACAAAAGGGGATCTTGGATTTCCAGTTGTCAGATCGCCAGCTGGGCCAAGTTATGCTGGTGCTGCTGAAAGCAGACGTAGACTCCACACAACATGCTCTGAACGTCAACCCTGCAACCTCAAGCTAAAAGATGCACAGAAGGCCACAAAACACAAAACATCAACCCCGCAACCCTAAATCCGAAACACGTTTCTATGCCTCGGATGACTGCACGTTGACATTGTCCCTTGTTCCTGGCAACCATTCAGCTGTGATGAGCTTGGGGTTCAGGGTCTTCAGAGGTTGGTGGACTTAGTGTGCAAGATCCATGAAGTCCAAACATTCTGAAGACCCAAAACTTCAAAGCTTGGCTTGTAATTCTGGAGTTCAGGTAACCCATGCGTGCATTTCGTACTTGTGTGTTCAAATATCTTCAAACACACATTGCAATCTCTCTAAATACTGCCTCCCGCTTTCGTATCCGTGCAATGGGGATCCTGCAACTTGGGGTGCAGAAGGGCGATGGTTTGTTGAGACATGCCTTCGTACGGAACTGGCTCATGCATTTTCTGCAGTCAAGTTTGCATTCGTTTCAGCTCTGCAACGGATGGAATCTGCAATCAATGCTCACTCCGAAAGCAAAACGTCGACTACCAATCCCTGTACAAACCTCTAAACAAGTTCACAGAACACCAAACCAGATCACGCACCACAGAATGGTTGAAAAATGTGAAACACCCAGAGAATGTAAGCTCGCACAATTTGACTTCCCACCGGAACATCTGTACAACAATGAGATAAATAGCTGGTTCATTTTCATTCTCAGGCTGGTGCCCATGCAAGAGGGCTGCAGAGGAGTGGCAGCATAGCCGCCGAGAAAACCGCTAACTTACTTTGAACTCGTGGGAGGCACCTGGCTGCGTTACAGCGGCAACTCCTGGGCCATCTCCACCGCTGGTTAGTGAGAGTCTGGACCTGAGTGAAGGCCGCCGGTACAGTGCTGGATGCGGGGAGATTTGGGGTTACAAAAGGGCTTGAGATTTCGATTTAGGCTTCAAAAGGGCTGAAAGTTTTGATTTGTTAGTTGAAGACTTTGAGATCCGGGTGGAGGGGAGGGATTGGGGGATGCTTAGTAGAGGATTGTGGGGATTGATAGCCATGCTTTGTAGATGCCCTCGATGAAGCAGCACCTCCTTGCATCTATAAGCAGTGCCGTGTTCTTCAGGAGCAGGGGACCCCTAAACCCTAAGGCCCGAATATATCGGCCTTCTATCACTCCGTCCCTCCTATAGAGTGAATCCCTAGGCCCCAACAAAATCGCCAGGCTTCCTGCCTCTTGGGCACTGCGCCAGCACGGAGGAAGTCGCACACCTCCTGGAGCCTCTGGCTCCACCCGAGGCTGCCAAGCAGGCGAAGCCTCGGTGGTACACCGGAAATTCATGAACCCTAGGCCCTAAAATCCCGAACCCAACCCCCTCAAACCTGTAGACCCAAAGCCCCGCACCATGAGCTCGTTTCAATAGTTTAGGCTTTGAAGGCGCCTAGCTTGAACAAAACCGCGCATCCGACTTTCTACACTTGGCCCCCTGGGGCAGGCGGCCTGCCTCGAGCCTCCTGATCCGCTGGAGGACTTCCAAGGTTTAAGGTGGCTTGGGGTCTCCGGTGTAAGGGGTATAGGGTTTAGGGTTTCAGGTTTGGGGACTTTGGGGTTTAGGGCTGGGGGTGTAAGGTTTAGGGTGGGAGCTACTGGGAATTCATAGGGCCTTCTAACCATGCAGAACTTTGGTAGCCTCAGGGTACCCCAATCATGATTAGTATTCTCAGGTCGCAGGTACGATTGGTTAGCAAGTTTTATTAATCTCCTTTCGCACCACCAGGCCGTGAATGTAAAAGCCCTGCTAGAGTTGTTTCAAAGTATGAAATGTTGTAGAGGAAGGAAATCTTGAAAAAGTGTGCATCACCACTGTGTTTTTGGGCTCCTGGGTGCAACTATCCTCATTAGTGACAAACTTCAATTGAGTAGTAATTTATTTGTGGATACTATGGTCCTCCTTTTGGGGTATAGTATCTTGTATAAGGAATATTATCTTACTAGGTTCAACCACCAAAAAAACACTGCTCAATTCCTCAATCCCAAAGCAGTGACGAGGAGCTGCCATCCCCGCGGAGTGCCCCCTCCGAGTCCTCTGGGAGTTGGAGCCCTGGAGTTTGGAGTCCAAGATTCAAATATGGTAGTTTCCTCAAGTAGGCGAGCCCCAATATGAACACTAAAATACTAAGGTGCTTATTATAGGGACCCTCCAAAAGGTACCGCTAATTTTGGGAAACCCTCTAAACATTGCAAGCAAGTGCCTGCTTAGCACCCCGCAGCCCAGACCCGCACGTCTCGATTTGCCACAGCTCCTTCCCTTCAGAGGCCCGCGTCTTCCAGTTGCCTCGCTGGCGAAGGAGGCCTCAACGTCGTCCCAGGATCTGCGTGGCTTTGGAGCGCGTTTCTGGCTTCATAGGCTGAACGGACATGCTCAGAAGTGTCATAGTTTTAGGGTTATGCGCTGCAGGCTCGTAGGTTGTGATAGTTTAGGGCTCGCACAAGGCTGGAGCCTGCTCCCTTGAGTCAGCTGCTTTGCAAGAGAGCTTCGAACAGATGGTAAGCAAGGATCCCTAAACCTAAAGACTGTCCTCCCAAGAAGGGGCTTTCGACCTAGAATCGCTATGGTAACCTATTCTCTGAAACTGCCGCCAGACGCATGAGTGCAATTTGTGGTGTGGGTGAGTCTGCATAGGCTTCCTTCCAAAAAATAGCCCACTGAGGTACAAAAATCAAGTCCTGCCTACTGGGTTACATACAGGGTTATATAGGGTATGATAGGCGTATGGAGGGTGGAAAAGAAAATCGAAGCAACCCTTAAACCCTGCAAACAGCACGAAGCCTTGAACCTTCAGACAGCCTTCATCCCAGCCCTAAACCCAAAACCCCAATCCCTCTAAACCCTCCATTTTGCTCCCTACATGCTCTTGCCTATCCCCTCTACACACTAATATGCCAGTATAAACCCTGAATCCCAGAACCCTGAGCTCTTCTCAGGAGGTCCAGCTGCAGCTGCCTCGGGCTGCGCCACTGTCGGATTCGCCTAGGCATGCGCTTGTGTTGGCGGCTTGGGATTACGGTGCAGGGCTTTGGCAATCAATCAGGAAGTAGGGATTAAGGTTTAGGGTTTAGGATTAGGGTTTAGGGTATGTGGTTGGCGTCAAGGTTTACGAATGGTACCCCAATGAGGGAGAATAATGGAAAACGAAATGGAGACTGGGATTCTAGAGGGGGGTTCTAGGGTTGATATTACATATCTTTCATGACCCTTAGTATCCGAAAGACTTAGGAAGTATGGTGCTGCAGCCTAAGCTGTGGCAGAAGTGTTAGTATCAGCAGTGGAAGAGTCTTGCAGCGCTTTATTCTGCCAAGAATTCTGGGAATGTATGTGACAATGCAGCGGTAAAGTTTCAGGTAGATGTAAGCATCGTGATTTTTTTGGGTTCCAACTCTGATCTGTTGCCCTATAGTATCGGAACCCTTTTTTCATCGCATTGAGACGTCCTGGGTCCAGGTCGAGATTTCAGGGATGAGTAAGGGAGACGGGGATGAGTAGTAGAATCTTCCCTTGTTTGGTGAAGATTTCTTGTTACCCAAAGCCCCGCTCTAAATATCTCGAATCTAGGCGCAATCTAGGCTGCAGTTGTGGAGGTCGGAAGGGGAGTGTAAGGGTCCCTGTAAAGAACTGCCTCCGATGTGTTTCCCTCAAACTCATAAGCCCTCTCTTCTTGGAGTTGTATGAGGATGGTATGGCCTGTACTTAGGGCTTACACAAATGATTCTCTGGAGTCCTCTTAGGGAGGGGCCTTTTGTGGTTTCGAATAAAGTTGGGCGAATCTGTTGGGAGCCCCAGGGATTGGACCATTAGGATCTGTGTCGGGCGACCGCTAGTAATAGCAGTGACAGTTCCATCAGGACTTGTGACTGAGGAGGATACCAGACTGACGTCCCGGAGACAAGGGTTTCAGATTGCATCAGGTGTTCCGGTGTTCAGGGCATGGTGTTATTGCGACTGCACCAATTCAAGAACAACGCCGCCATTCTTCGCACAGAGCCCTGCTATGCCGGAATGGCATCATACCTTGCTGTTACAAGTCGCAGCCGTTTGGTGCATGAGTTTGTGCTGAGGGCTTAGGGTTTAATTCATGATTTAGTGAAGGGCCTATTTTGGGGTTTCTCTAAAAATTAGGAGCCCTTTTTGGGTGTCCCATGTCATAGCGGTCATTTGGGTGTCTATATTGAGATCTGTTTCTGGGAGCTTCCATTTAAACCTGGAAGAACCTAAACCCTAAATCCTAACACTAAACTTTAGACCCTGTAGCAGTGCAACCGGTCTGAGGGAAAACCCACTGCCCTTCCTCAGCAGGCGTAAAAGTCCGTGGGGTTCAAAAACCCTAAACCTGCCTCCCCTCAGTAACAGTTGGATAATAAGTATACTATGGTTATATATAGCCCTTAATAGGACCCTTAATATAGACTGTTACTGGGTGGGGGCAGTACCCAACCTAAACCCTTAACCTGCAAGGATGCGCCACGATGCGGCGGCTCAGGTCGTTAGAACGTCTTTGGGGCTGTGGGATTTACTCATTGCATGGGGGTTTCAGAAGCGTTCCGTACCTAGGGGGTATATGGGGACATCTAGGGCTTGAACGGGAAGATGTAGCGATGCGGGTTTAGGGTTGGGCGCTGGGGTTTGGTGAGATACGTAGTTAGGAGCTATGGCTCAGGCTGCAGTGGTTTTGGCTAGGGTTTCTTGATTCGTGAGTTGGAGAGAAGCACCATGATGGGCCTCCAAGCACAGTTTAGAACCTCTGAGTTCAAGTCCTGACCCCAAGAAGAATCACTGAAGGGTCAAGACAATAATCAGTACGCCAATGACCAAGTCTGCGGCAACGTGTTAAGGCTTTGACAGTCGTGGAGAATGGCATGAACCACTTTGCAATTCTTTGAACTTGCATTCAGAACAGAGAAGTTCTTTCCACACTAGAACCATTCCCGAACTTTCTGATATGGGTAGCCGAAAAAGTCTATCAGTTCATTTATACTTTGCAAGTCGAGCTTGAATGAATATTCTTGCGCCCCTTTAACTTGCAGGTGCCAAGTCCAAAAGCAGGCAGGGGGTCTCAGATACACCATGGAAGCTTTCGTCTTTCGCAGTTTATGTAAGAGTTGTGGTCTCAGGAGCCATGTAGATTCGAAATGTTTTCCAGGTCCGCAGTTCTCATGCTGGCTACCTGAGAGTCAGTCTTCAAAAAGCATTCCGGGATCGATTGAAGAATCCGAGAAAGCCACAGCAAGACCCTGTTGCTAAATGGGTCTTCTGGAAAAGGCTGAGAGGCCCTTTTGGAAAGGCAGTGGCAAGTGGGGGATGGGGGACTGCCTTTAAACAGAGCATTGCCATGCGAACCGCAAACAATATCAACCTCTGCATCAGTCGCGCTGGATTCAGTTCTACCTGGGTTAGGCCTCTGATGCTCTAGTGCAGAGAGTCATCATCCCGCGCATCACGCACTTCAAGAACTCAATACATGTCTTCCTTTGGCCCCTATACCTCACCCTTCTGTTCAAAGCTGATCGACCTTGAGTTTCTCAAGCCAGCAATCCTGACGCTAGACACTTCCACCCACCGGGCAACCAGAGACGAACAACAAAATCATTTTTGCAACCTTTGCTCATGTCCCAAGGGCCTCTGTTTGTGCAAGTTGATGTGGGCCGAGTCCTTGATGCCTGGTTAAGATGATTGCTAGGGGTCTAAGACAGAAGCCATGGCTGGAGAAAGTTCTGTTATGGTGACATCTAGCTTTGAACTCTCGCACCTCTAGTGTCCTAAGCCCCAAAACGCACTGTTTCATGGCTTAGGCGTTTAGGGTTTAGGGGTTTTGGTTTAGGCGTCAGGATTGTATCAAGCACCCAGGTGCTTTTAGCTTGATCCGGATCGCCAGCATGCGCAAGCGACAGGCGCCCAATGGTGGCTCCGAGAGGTTGTGGGGTCTTGGGGTGGTTGCCTCCGGGCTTGCTTGGAGGGTCATGGGACCCAGTAAGTAGGTCAATATGCCCTATAACCCATATAATAAACCCCATGATCCCCACTATCAACCTACTTACTAAGTCCCCATGACCCTCCAAGTAAGGTCTAGCTTTTGTGGCTTGCCTTGCCGTGTTTGCTCGGAACTCTGAACCCGCGACCTTGAGGGTTCTAGAGTTTTTGATGTCTCAAGCGTTGGGGATGTCAACCTTGGCATCCTGCACCCATTGAGGCAGGACTTATAGTCGTTGTGGTTCTGCTCTTACCATCGTTGTTTGGTGAGAAGTAGTAGTCACAATTAATTCTATTCGTACTCATCATCTTAACCGCTGTACAGTAGGTTCTGCTTCTATCTCCATAGCGAACGGCCTTCGCAACACCTGAAGCACACCACGTGGAGGCTCAGCGACGTGCTGCTGAGCGTGCCAAGGTCTGCCCGGGCTTGATGAATTATTACGGTAGTCCTAACACATTATACATATATATATATAATAAGAGGCATTTCCCAATATTGTAACCGTTTCCATGTTCTTTTCCATTCCTGCATTCCCTACTAAGGAATACAGTAGTTTCCATGTTCTTCTCCTGTGTGTTCAGGTTCTGAATTTATGGTTCAGGGTGGCTCGGGTTGGATAGGGTGGGCCATCAACAGCTTCACTACCGAGCAAAGCTTTGCTGTGAGGTAGCATGAGCAAACCCCAGCATGCCTATGTGCCCATGTGCCCTTTCTAGAGGTGGCATAGATCCCTGGGTATCTCCTATCATGAGGCTGCTTCCAACCTTTTACACCTGCTGCTAAAGAAACCGCCGCAGGCAACCCCGAATTCAAGGTCCCAGCACTATCAAGTAGCCGTAGTGACCTTGGCATTGAGGACTGCAGGGGTTAGAAAGCCACCGTCGCGCACATCGAGCAATTGCATGACGGCATACCCTAGACCCCAGCTTTCATTTCTAAACGTTAATCGAGAACCATAAGCCCCAAACCCCGACCCCAAAACCACCAGCATAGGCGGCAGCTGAACCGCGAGAGCGAGGCTCCACGGCTGTTGGGGTTTCAGGGTTCATTGGATTCCGGGTAAACATGCACACATGGTCCCAGTAGGTTTTTATGGGTGCTGGCTGGAAGCCTGCGGTTTGTGATGCGTCTAGGTCCAAAGTATTTTCGCTGTGTGTTCCAGTCTGCAGGGTTTGAGGCAAGCGCTTGTTTTTGCTACTTGCCGCGGTTTCAACCTTACGGGTGCGGTGCATTGCATATTTGTAATAGCTTCTGGCCCAGCACCCAGACCTCTGGGTATTCTGCTAAAATTTGCCTTGCAGATGTTGTTTCTAGACATTTCTCAAGGGCTCCGAGTTGCGATCTTCCTGGAAACTAAGAATCCCTTTCGCAATTGTGAGTGCAGTTCCAGCCATCTGAAACACAAAGTTGCTGCCCAGTCTACCGTGCAGCTGCCTCGATAGACGCAGTGGGAGCCTGAGGCGGAGAGGGATCGAGGTTCCCTTGGTGTCTGGGTTTTCAACAAGTTTAGGGCAGTAAAGCTCCTACAGGAAAAAGACACCTCAGGGCAGGTCAGTACCATTGCTGTTATTGCTCTAAGTGTCTGATTGAGCATCCTTTTTTTGGTGGCACTTCTTTCAGCGATTAGTTTTGTTGGTGGTCGATCCACGAGCCTGAGGCCATGCGCCTCTCCAGGCGACCGCACCGGCCGCCCACAGCCGTCCGAGACCATTTGTAGAGCAGCTGGGAGCTGTGCTTCTGGGCTTCACGGATGCAGCGATAAGCACAAACCCAACTCCGTCGCAACCATGTAGAACAGTGATTGTGCCATTTTCGTATGCTTTGAAGCCGCCCGTAGATGATACTCTTGTTTGAGTAGCGGCCTGCCTAGAGGAGATTTTTAGATGTTCCGGGCTTTGCTGATTCTTAGTTACGGTTACACTGCTAAGGAGACACGTCCCAATAGCAGGTGGCCTCAGCAGGTTGACAATAGTAAATGCCGCATCCTGCCAAAGGCGTGAAGGAGGGCTTTGACTAAGTCTCTCCCGACCCCAGCTGTTGTCTGTTTCAAGGGCGGGGGTCTTTGCAGGGAGTCATACCCAAATGTTCCATGTTCTGTTTCGATTCAGAAGCTACGGAGGAGAATCTGGCATCTAAGCTTCTACACTTTTAACCACATCGCAAAGGCCCTGCGGGCATTTGGGCTATCCGGCACCGCTTGAATTTCAGTAGGGCTGGTGCGGCTTTGACTGGATCCCTTCAGGAGCCTCCAGGTAGCAGCCGTTCAGAAATCAGTGAAGGCCAAAGTACTGACAGTGGGGTTCTGGGTCGTAGCATACCAGGTTATTCGGATTCCTGATCATGCGGGCAAATACGTTCGGCATGGACACAGTTTCTTATATCTGAACCAGTGAAGAAGTAGAGGACCCAGCAAAGGCAGCCGTAGCATGCTTCAATGGCCCTTAATCCGCAAGAGCAGAAGGACCTCACGCTCCCAGCAGTAGCCAGAATGTTTCACACTGCGGCCACGCAGTGCCGCTTGACGGGAGCAGAGATTTCGTTGCGATCCCGTGTGAGTCCTCAATGCTAAGCTGCTATGGTGGTTAGCTCCAAGTCCACTCCTCCAGGTATTTTGAATGCTTAGCTCTAGATCCCTAACGGGTATTGCTGAGAAATCGCTGCTCACTCCTGCAAGCTCTCGTCTCCCCGAATTTAGGGAGGCCGTGTTCGCCTGGAGCCTGGCGGGTATTCACCAATATAATTACTTGAAGCAAGTCGGTCGGGGTGAGGTTGACAGAACGATGTCGAAGCTTGCTTGAAGGTTTGCTGGCAGGGTATTCAGGCAAGTTATTTGCTAATTCTGACGTTTGGTGGTCCGGAATGCTAGTAATGCGCGCGTGCCAGAAACTCACAGCATCTCTCAGCAGCTGCTGTCAACTTCATAACCAACCCTGTGAAGCCTTGGAAAATTGTACGGCAGGTAATTGCGTCATTGAAGAAACCCAGTGAAAACTTGTTCTCGTCTTCGCGAGCGCTGGGTTTCAGGCTCTTGGGCCTCTCCAGGTAGGCACATGGAGGCATGGCCGAAAAGGAATTCAGCACGCTCGGCGACAGCATCCTCAGCCACATGTTTCCGAACCCTTCGAATCACACTTTGGGGTGAGGAGTTAGAAAGGCGCAAACCTCAGGCTGAAATCGTGTTGATCTGAAGCTGAAGTGTCAAACCTGCTTTCTAGCAGCTAGCAGACCGCTACATCTTGGCAGCCTTACAAAGCTGGACTACCGAGTGTGTATCCGCCTCTTTTGCTGCCTGTCATGGGCCTGGGACTTCCTGCAGAAGAAGTCAGACAATCTGGATGTGATCAGTCGAGCTACGGCTGCTGGTATTGTGGCCATAGCCTGTTGTTGTCAAAGTCTGGGACACGTCCAGTAACATTACTTGTGAAGACTTGTTACTAATGCCGCTATAGTATTGCTACTGCCAGCCAACCACACTGCTGCCACCACCTCCATCACCACCATCCTCCTCCTCCTGGTCATAACCCTTCTAGCTTCTGCTATGGCGTCCTGGGCACATTGGCAGAACAGCCATGCGACGCGTCTTGTTTGCGAGACAGCGAACCAAAGAAAAAACCCTCCTCGGCTTTAGGGTTTGTTTCTGCATGTTGTTGTTGTTGTCTTGAACTTCTGAAAGATTTGCTTGAATGAGTTTCGCAGTCAGGGGGTCTGGGTTTTCTGAGGGGCTTTCTGAGAGTCAGTCTGACCACACTTTCTGGAAGGGTCACCTTCGTGAGGAAGCCTAAATCGGCTTATAGGGGGGTCCATTGGTAACCATCCTCTCAATTAAGATTCGGTCCGTGCCAGGTTTTAGTTGTGAATGCTCCTAAGCCTGCACCCTAAACCTCACTTAACTGCCAAAGTAAGCTCTCCACGCAGCACTGGCGTTCATCACGCCGCCGCAGACAAGAATCTTGATTGGGTCTGTGGCAAATGATGCAACACAAGATACTGCCATTCTATTTTGGGGTTATATAGGGATAATGGATAATAAAGTCGAAGCTACTATCATAGATTGGGGTTGTATAGGGATAATGGAAAATAAAATGGAAACTACTCTAATGTTTGACTGCTCAAGTTTGCCCAACAGCATTTACTGCAGCATTTACTGCCGCATTTACCTTGGCCATCCTCTGAACTCCTCAGGTAGAGCACAAGGTATCGTCCCCCTTAAGTAGATAGAATATGGGGTATGTGGGGATCTTGTTATAATTTACCCAAAGGCATATTCTATCTACTTAAGGGGGACTATAGATGTTGCGGGATGATGCGTAACTGGTTTAGTCGGTTTCTAGGCCGGCTAGGGTCCGGAAAAGGACGTCTGATCCGAGCTGAAGCAACAAGGGTGCTTGGTACTCGCTCTGATGTATCCCCCAGACTTGCAACCTTGGAAATTCAGCTTCAAAGCTTGCATTTTTTAAGTCCCCTACAGCTCGGAATCCTCAAGTGCCAGGCGCCTGAAGCCCTAGGCCTGAGCAAATCAAATGACAGGGCTATCAGTTGTTACCGGAACGATATAAATGTAAAACGAATTCAAAGCTGGTGCTGCGGCCATCGTCGTTTTCATTGCTGTTCTCGTTGCTGTGGCTAATAATATTACTCTGCAGACCCAGGCTTAAGTGCGCGCATTCCACGAAGCAGCTTGCTCAAGGTCTCGGTAGGACAGCCTTTGAAGGCAGCACCTATAAGACCATCGACCCCTGTTTGCCAATGCTGAGAGACTGCGGCCTCCTGCAAGCAATTGGACAGCGCCGCCTGCAAGGTAGGAAGGAGAATGTATCCCAGCCAGCAGCATTGATATGTCTAATGATCATTGCACACCAGAATTCAGCTTTGGAATCTTAGCGTCTCAGGCTGTGATCCTCCACCCCTCAAGATGTCTCCAATGTGAAAGCCCGCGTTGACTTGATAGAGCTTGATCAGCATAGTTCACATGAAGGCCAAACCAGGAGGACTTGTGCTGTTCGAAGATGGTCCCGCGCTTCGTGTATCGATCCTTGCGGGAGGATGAGGACGGGATATGTCTGAAGTGCGCTCAAAAGGTTGCAGCAAATGTACTTGCTATCAAGTAGCAGGCCCTTACACGAAGGCTTCGAACTGCAGGTTGGAAAGGATTGGGGTAGGAAATTGTGCGGTGGACTCGGAATTTGAAAGAAACGTGCCCCGGTGCCTCGTGCATGCAAAAGATGTTTTCTGCGCCCCAAGGCTAGGGCTTTGGAGGCTTTGAATCTGAAAGTCGGCCTTCAATTCGAAGTCACGGCTTTTGCGTTGCGATGGCAGGGTAGGCATTTACGCGCGCATTGCAGAGGCTAGTAGGCTCGTATTTGTAGGTAAGCAAGAGATGTGTACATCGGATGGCCAATCAGTAGCTCCCAGTGCAAGCGCCATCCAGCAGCTGCTACCCGCGACAGGACACTCTTGCGGGGCTAAGGGCGCGGGATCCCACTGCTGATCGCACCTGGGCATCCCTGGTGTGTGTGGTAGGAGACAGAGGGCAACCTTCCAGTTCACCGTATCAGTCGAGCCAGAACCTTGTCAGCCGGCGACCAGCCGTAATATCCCCGGTAATTGCTCAGGTACCGTCATTCAAGCTCTTGAGGAGGGGTCTGTCGCAAATCAGTTCCTGCATACGGCGGTCTCGCCAGAAGTCGCACTCTACTATGCAGAGGCTTTTGGCAAGACCTCAAAGCATCAGATTGTGGAGATCGACTTAGAATGCTTTGCTGGCGACGTCATTGTTCTGTCAGATAGCTACAGCTGTCGTCAGCATTGTGTTTGGGATCACACGCGAGCACACCACTTTGCTGTTAAGCACAAAGTCGTGATGCTCCTGGACTATATCCATCCGTCACGACTCAGCAAGCCTCTGCAGACGTCAGAGTTAAGACCTCACAATCTATCCTCTTGGCCCTCATTTGATGACTTCCTCTGGATGCTCTCCGACAGGGCACGAAGACAGCTCAACGATTGGAGAAGACCGGCTGCAGCTTGCAGAAAGTCAGAGACGCCGCCATCTTCTCAGCAAGCATTGTGCAATGATGATAGAGTGCAGGCCGCTGTCTTGAAGCAGGCTGCTCAACAAGTCAGTAAAGATGCTGAACAAGTCAGGCAAGACATTGCCAAGCTTGAGGCGAGAAAAGCTGCCCTCGAAGCGCAGGAAGTTGTCCTAGATTCCTTGTCGCAGCAGGTTCAGAAGAGGGTGAAAGACAGGGCTCGGAAGCTTGAAGAAGAAGAGCATGAGCGACAACGCCAGGAGGAACTGAAGCGAAAGCGCCAGGAGGAGGAGGAAAGATGTGAGGAAGAACGCCAGGCGGAGAAAAGAAGGAAGCAACTGGAGTGGCAGGCCCAAGAACAGCGAGGTCCAAGAATTTGGGCACAGTGTGCCGCGAACGATCACTTGCTCAAGAATTTTGACAGGACAGCGCTGCAAATTGCTCTTGGGCAGAGTGGATACATCACGCTCTGGGATTATGTGAAAGGCCACGCTTGGTGTGGAATTCCGACCCGCTTGTACAACAAGCTCAATGGCGGGGGTATCATCAGTCGCATGCAAAACTGGTGGCATTGAGTCCGGATTCAGATGCCTTCTACGTTCAGTTTAGCGATGGAGACTATGATTACTTCAGCTACAGTGCTGAAAGCTTTAGGCAGGCTCTGAACGATTCTTCGACTCCTTCAGTGGTTGCACTTGGCCCAAGACGCGCGTGGTATGTAGGATGGCCTGATGGGAGGTGGCAGTCCAATGGTTTGCCCAGGAGTTTGCTCAATATGCTCAACTCGAACAGACACCGGTCTGTGGCCTTCATGAGCATCTCTGGCTTAGACATTAGCCCCAAGGATGATGACTCTCGAGACAGTGATGATGACTCTCGTAGTCCGAGCGAGGATGAAGGAGGAGATATGGATACTGCAGCGTGGTTCATTCGTTGGGGAGATGAGCGGAATCCTCCCTGGAAGCTAAAGAATGCACCCTCCTCACTCTCGGAAACTGTGGAAGAAGTGCATCAGAATGGTGGCAGAGTTCGGAGTATCGAGTTTGGCAGCTTCGGAGACTGGGTTCTTCGATGTTCAGATTAAGTTTTCGATGAAGCTGCCACTACTATCACTACTTCTTGCCGCGAATTGGTCTTAGCTGATGCTCGCTGCACTAAGCTTAAAGCAGCAGATGTCACATTCGGCTGATTTTTGGCCATGAGCGATGCTTCCTGAGTAGGATATAGGTTTATCACAAAGTCGTGGTATGAACGCTCTTTTGCATTTAAATTGGTTTGCAGAGTTTTCTGTTGCCTGAGGCATCCCTGCGCTTTGACAGCAGAGAGACTGCTAGAGTTTTGATTCTAAGGCCTGAGGCTGACAAAAGTTTGCGTGGTTGATCTGCTTGTGGGTAAGCGGAATGTGGTTCCAATGCAAATGCTGCTCTAAGCCTCTCATTGTTCTGTACGCAAACTTGTATTAGCCGTCAGATGCAGCGACATGCGGCCTTGGGGTTTTTCCCAACAATGTCTCCAATGCTGCTTGTCGGTATTGCCGACAGGTGTCTCGCAAAATCAGGCGTCCTTTCGTGGTTATGAGAGGCTACGCGATGAGCGACGATACTGTTGCATGCTTGTGCATCTCAAAGGCTTTTTGACTGAGGCGAAGTCACACTGTTTGCCTGTTTTTCGCTCAAGCTAAAGGTTCCGCCCACCCTGCCAGCGCTGTCGATTTTGTCTGTAGCTTTCTCGCGCAGCTATGTCTGGTGTGTCAGTCAAGGATGAGTGCCTCGGCTGTGCAGCATTTTTCATTGCGAAGCAGTACAGGATCCCAGCACATTATTGTACAGGTGGGTGTTACCAGGACCCCTCTCTGATCCACCTGCAGACAGCTTGTTTCTGCTGCATGATCAAGGTGCGTGGAGTTGTACAACCAGATCAAGATGAAGAAGGAGCAGCTGCACCTCAGATGTGTCGCTCAACATGTGAGGTGCTACGTTGTGAGTATCTGTGTGAGTGGAGCCCAATTCCTTGTGCAAGACACACCAAAACTTAGCTCTAGGCTCAGAATTTCAAGCCAAGAGCGAAGCTCTGAAGCGCAACTGTGAAATAGGCTTGCCTGAATACTGCTACCATGGCCCCACATGTGGAGGACTTGCGCTATGTTATCTTCAAGATCGAGAACCACAAGGCAGCAGGTCTTGCGTGAACCGGGGGCTTCGTGAAGCTATCTTGCGCAACTTACATACTTCAGCTGGGTAGGCGCGGTATTGAGCAAAGGGTTCCAGCATCGTGCAGCGTCCTTGCGATCGGGAAGCTTTCTGCTAGCTTTAGTCATCTGATCGTCCTTCACGCTGCTCCAAGGTGTTGCTATGAGTTTTCCTGGCCAGTGCTGCCGCTAGGGTGTTTCTCAACGCATATGTCTACGTGTATGTCTACGTGTTTGTCTACGGTCTGTAAAAGACTCTCCATTGTGACCTGACCGTACCTGACAATTTAGGTTTTTGGGGTTCAGGGGTCAAGAATCTAGGGGTTAGAATTTACGGGCTTCATGTTTGGGATTGCAATTTTTTCCTTTGGCGGTCCTTACGCCAGATTACCTTGATATCTTTTCGACCCAAGAAGTTGCAAGCTTTGACCTCCTTGGCATTAAAGTCTAGTGGAGCAAAGCCCAAACCCACCAGCTTTGGTTGTTGTCTTGTGTGGACCTCATGAGGGAATAATGTTTGAACATTTTTCTGGGTGCACATTCCCAACGTCGACTTGTCCTCAACTCTGTAGATGAGCTTTGTGAGGAAATTGTGACGGAGTGCACGGGCCCAACCGGCGAGACCTACAAGGATTTGGGGCCGGAGGGCGTCCGAAGATGGTGAAGTTTGGATAAGCAGTTCTAATGCATTGATTTAGGCCTGGAAGAATTCAGGGTTTGGAGTATCTTCCAGTTGAATTGCCGTTGCCCCTAAAGCGTAAACTCTAAATTAGACTGTAAATCCAACATTCAATACAGACCCTGATGCCAAGCCCTTGGAGGGAATGTTGAGGTCATGTAGACAGGGAAAGTGGGGACACCTCAAAAAGGCGCATATCCTCGGCCATTAAGGATAGGACAGGGATGGCGTTGGGAAAGTTGAAGGTGTCACCTTTCAACTAGCCGTGACTGGCTGAAGTTCTGGCCAGTCCACAAAAGGAGTTAATATAGGGGCGAGATAGGGGTTATGTAGATGTTATACTGGGGGTTATATAGGGGTTATAGAAGAGGCTATACAGGGTTGTAAGCAGCAACCGACCTTACTGCTGGACTTCGCCGGTTACCCGAAAAGTTGCAAATCACGACTTGGCCAGCGTCAGGTAAGGAAGCAATGCGTTTATCACAATTTTTGGTAACGGAGACCCATGATTAATAAACCCACTCTTTTAAGGACCTGAATATTGGGATCCTTATTGTAATCCTTATTGAGGGGAGGGGGTTTATTAATCATGGGTCTACATTACTTGGTTGTGCTGAGGGTTGGATTCGCAAGCGGATATAGGCCATGCTTTCACACAGCCTGCGGCGGAGTATAGGGCCTTCATTGCTACTTAAGCTGTCCGAGCCTTACGTGCCCCCGACGATAGAAGCAGAGCGCCTAGCATTGAAGGTTGACATAGGTGTATGTGTCAAAACTAACCAGAGCGATACACACGGCAAAGAACGTATATTCCTGAATGTGGGAACCTCCAACTGCGACCATCGCGTTTGGCACGCTCCATACCATCTGTAAGGGGGAAATTCTACAATCTCTATCCCTCGGTACCTTTACCCTGTTTTGCCAGACCCGGAACTTTTCCTGGGACCTCTTGCGCCTCCGCGTGCAACTTAGGGAAAAAGTTATAGCCAGGTTAGAACCTGTATCCCACTGATTAGTGTTATGGCTAATTTCCGATAACAAGAGCATGTCGTATTGTGTTCACATCAAATTAAAACAGCTAACTCCAAACCCTAAACCCTGAACCCCTAAACCCCTGAACCCCAAACCTCTAAATCGCTAAACCCGTAAACCCCAAACCCGTAAACTCTATGTGGAGGACTTCGTGAGCAAGCTGCCGGACAACCAGCCCAGGCCGCCTGCTTCTCGCCGCGCTCTGCTAAGCTTGCACAGGGGAGTTTGTGTGGAAACGACTAGATAATGGAAAAGAAAATGGAAACCACTATATTATAATAGGGTATATATTGGGCTTCTATAGGGGTAATGGAAAAGAACATGGAAAGTACTATATTATCATTTATAGTATAATCTTGGAATGGGTTATATAGGGGTTATATGGGGAAATCATCCCCCAAGAATGGAGAATCCCATGGAAAGGAAAATGGAAAATGAAATGGACACCCTAGGTCTCTTTAAGAGGTTATATAGGGATATTATCTCCCAAGCATGGAGAATCAAATGGAAAAAGAAAATGGAACCCGGGGTTGAGGGTTTTGGGTTGCTGTTAAGGTTTAGGGTTTAGGGTTTCAGGGAATTTAACTTAAGCTACTATATTGGGGAAACCCTATTATTTACTATATATACCCATTATGGTAACTTAATTTAAGGTCCTTAACAGCAACCGAGTAGTCGGGCAATAAGGGTAGATATTGGGCTTATAAAAAAGGATAATGGAAAAGACAATGGAAAATAATCATTACAATAGGGTAATAAGGGTATATGTTGGGGCCATGGGGTTTAGGCCCAACTGTTGAGCGTTTGTAGCTATGGTTATCATGATCCCTGAAGTCAGGCACCGGTTCTCGCTGCCTACATGATAGTCATTATTGGTATTCTGACCGTGCGGAGTTGTCTTGAGTTTGATTCCCATTCTCCATGCATTTGATGCTTCGGCGTTTCAAATGTTTCAGGTCCAACATACCCTCCTGGGTACGAAACGATGAAGAATAAGTATTTAGCCATGAACTAACTTGCCGCACTTTGCGGCTGCCTCTTGCCTTGGGACAGCTCTTGACGAAAACGCTTGAGAAAATGGGTTGTTTTGGAGAGTTTCGGAGCGTTCGAGCCCGATTCCAACCGACACGCTTTTAAAGACCGTCCGTGCGCATTCAGAAAGACATGCACCGTGAAGGCTGCGTTAGAAGCTGTCCTGTAGCTATGCAAGGGAGTTTGTATGGAAACTAGTATGGTATGATAGGGTATATTATCTATTGGGGTTATGTAGGGATAATGGAAAGAAAATGGAAACTGCTTGGACTATATAGGGGTTATAGAGGGATCATAGGGTATATACGGTAGTTTCCCCAAATAGGGGGGATCCCATAAAGACCCCCAAATAGTATAATCCTTATATAGGGCTCCCATAATGGTACCCCTAATTCTGGGTGCAAGCTTGAAAAGCTTGGATTGCTGAGACATGCAGTCGATTCCCAGCACCGTTGGTCCAGACAGAAAAAGGACAAGCAGTGTGCTAGCCAGTGGCCGCCTCAGCTCATTTGCATGGTAGCGGAGCCCAGTCAGGCAGAGGTCTTGGCTGGGCTCCAGGAGCCTTTGGGTGCGACAACCACGTCCAGAACTAACCTGACACGGTAGAGCCCATGACGGAGCTTCGCTACAACAAAGATGGAATCCCCATCTACGATGGGGCGCCAGAATTGTTTGTTGCGTACCAGCGTGCTGCGATGATTTATTCTGAAACTGTTGAGTGGAAGAAACGCAGCTTGGTGGGGCCTAGGCTTCAAGCTGCTCTTGAGGGCAGCGCACGACTGGCGGTGGAGCATATGACACCTGGCTGGATTTCCCATGACCACGGTGCTTCACAGCTTCTGGAACACTTGAAGCGTCAGGTGAGGGCTCCAACGCTGGCTGAAGCAGGCCGCACCATGTCAAGATTCTTTTATGGAATCAAGAGGAGGCGTGGCGAAGGCATGGCTGCTTGGATAGTGAGACACGATGAGGCCTTACTGGAAGCCAAAAGGACATTAGCAGAGGCCATACAGAAGTATGGCCCGGGGACTCTGCAACCGGGATCAGCCCTGAGGTTGAAGGCTGGGACCAGGGAGACACCGAGGCCATTCCAGAAGATGGACGTCCTGGAGAGGCCACCTCACAGGAAAAAAAACAAGTCAGGCGGTGGATGATTCATGGGAAAGATCATCTACACACTCCTGGCGCAGCTCCTGGTGGAGATATGGGTCCTGGGAACCCTGGGACTGGCAGTCTACCTGGTCCCCACAGGTGTGGAGGCCACACTCAGGAGGCAGCAGAGCCTCATGGGACGCCTCAGAGGCAGCATCCGCGCAAGCAGAGAAGTTCCTGCCAGATTTTGTGATCGCATGGCTGTTGCTTCAAAGGTCCGGCTTGGATGCAACTGAGAAGAGTGTGATCGTGGCAAACTTGAAGAACAATTTCTCAACTGCCAAGGTCAAGGCGGCTCTGAAGTTGACATGGCCGGACGAGGAGCTCAAGCGGCGAGATTCCAGCAAACATGCTGCGATGTTCACTGCAGAAGAAGCTGTGTTGATGGCAGATGATGGCGAGACCGAGGAGTATGAGCCTCTGGACTGGGAAAGTCCAGAGGACGGCTATGCGTATCAGGCATTGGAGGACGATGCCCAAGAAGCCCTTGCGGCCCTGCAAGATTCTCGAAGGACCCTCAAGGAGGCCAGGGAGAAGCAGGCTCAAATGAGACGAAGCCGCAACTTTTCTCCAGCCAAAGGCTCAGGCAAGGGCAAGAATTCCAGTGATAGGCCGCCCCCCAAGTGCTTCCGATGTGGGGGCCCTCACTTTCGAAGAGACTGTCCAGAGAGTGCGACCAACAACTCTCAAGGCCAACACGTCAATCTGGTGTTTACTGCGACAGAGCTGTCTCAGGAGATTAGCTTGGAAGCTGTGGAGCCAGAGTGGCAAGAGGAAGCCAGCTTTGTGGCCTTGGAAAAGATTGTGCGAGAAGGGAAGGCAATCATTGATGGTGGTGCTACAAGTAGCCTTGGATCAGAGGAGGCGTTACAGCAGATTGCGCAGCTGAACTGGGAGTCGCAAGGCGCAGACGGGATTCAGATCATCCCAGATGAGACACCGGCTTTTAAGTTTGGCAACAATGGCAAGCATACCTGCATGGCCACGGCGCTACTGAAGCTACCGATTGAGCAGACCTCCAGTCAGATGAAGATCCACTTGCGCGACATTCCGGGCCAACCAGTCTTGCTCAGCGTCAAAAGCCTTAGAGCGTTAGGAGCAGTGATAGACTTTGAGCGCAATGAAGCCGTGTTTAAGCGGCTCCATCCTCAGAAGCTGGTGACTTTAGAAACAACTGATGGTGGCCATCAGCTTTTTCCATTGGTCAGTGACGTGCTGAAAGGAGCTAGGAATATGAAGGCCCCCTTCACCTGCTTTAGTGAACACGGCTCCGACAGCACTTCGTCTGATCACAGTTCCGAGTAGGGACAACACCTTCTGGTGGACAGTGGCGCGATCGACCACCAGAAGGGCCAGAAAAAGAATAGCGCGTCAAGTGTTTTGTACAGCGCAGATCCACTCTGTGATTCACAATGTTTGTTAAGCAGTGAGCATGGGGAATTCCATCGTTTCCGCAGTGGTCCTTATCCGTGTCAGAGTGTTCCCAAAAGATCTAAGGGCTTAGGTAGGAAGCATTGGGAAGAGCAGGCCCATAGACTCCTGAAAGAACAAAGACCCATAAAGGAACTCCTGGACTTTCTTCGACAAGTGACCTGGCAGGACTTCCATTCTGGTCCCTCACATGAGCGCAGCGCACTTAACAAACATGAGCCTGAGGAACCCCAAGCCTTCGCCTACGCAGGTTTCGGTATGTGTTCGCATGGTGGGATGCACGGAACCACGAACTGGACTAGGGAGTGTCCTTGGCTGACTCGTTTGTTAAACCGGGTTGTTCAGCACTATAGCCCCAATCAGGTGTGGACCTCAGTTACGGTTTCATATAACATGCGAACGGAGCCCCATAAAGATAAGTTCAACTTGCAAGGTTCGCGTAATGTTGTTATACCTGTGATCAAACCTCAACAAGGAGGAGAAATTTGGACTGAGGGGTCCGAATCCAACATCCCAAACCACATGCAGGAGCTGCAGTGCGCAGGGGAAACCAAGCTTGGAGTTCTTCAGTCCCTTAAGGGCCCCATATACCTTGACCCCAAAAGGTGGCATGCGACTATGCCTTGGGTTGGAGATAGGTTAGTGCTGATTGGGTATGCGTTAAGGGGTCATAAGCAGTGGCCGGAGCACACACGTAGCCAGCTAAAGCCATGGGGCTTTCAGATTCCATGGAAACAAGGAAGGCGACCAGAGCAACATAGGCTCAGGCCCGCGCCAGGTGTCCATCAAGGTTTCCTCGCTAGCAGTTGGGAGCAAGATGCCCAGCAGCTCAATGTCCAAGAAGGAGATGCAAGAGCAGCTCCTGAAGCATGGTGAGATTCCACCATCGGGCTGGACCAAGGTTCAACTCAAGTCCCGCCTGATCGAGATTTCCGAGAGCGAGCCGAATGTGATGACAGAGAGAGATGCCTCTCACATCGTGAACCGCTGCAAGACCAAAGCGGCCCTTCAGGAGAAGATGGACGAGTACAAGTTGGAGTACAACTCCAAGACCAACTGCGACCAGCTCCGGGGCTCGCTGATCAAGCACCTGATGGAGACGCAGGTGCCAGCGTCCGAGAGCAATTTTCTCGGATTCGGGAAGCGCAGTTCCTGGACATATGCCGAGACGGCAGTGCACGCACCCTCGTACAGTGCCTGGGCGGTGGAGACAGCAACCAACGAGAGGGAGTGTCACTGGAGGTTGAGGCGATATGCCCTATGGTATCAGGGCCTCAGCCGCAGCGACAAGATGAGACTCGAGCAGGCAATTCCCTACCCAGAGTCGGGGAAGGAGATGATGGGTCGCCGAGGCTATGGGAGCAATCGGGCAGCTTCCTCCACGGGCCCAGCCAGTACCTCGACAGAGACCGAGGCCGAGTTGATTCCAGAGGTGAGCCAGACCAAGCGCATCACGGAGCTGGAGACCGAACTTCGCCAGCTCAAGGAGATGGTGATGAAGAACAGCGACGGATCCCACAGCGGCAAGGGCAAGGGCTTGCCAAAGACAACCAAGTGAGTTCGCAGTCAATGGACAGCGGCACCGAGAGCGAAGCTGATGAGGACCTTGTGTGCCCTGGAGAGACCAGTGCCTTGTCATTTTCTGTGGCTAAGAAAATTGGGGCTTGTTACGAACAGGCTATGCTCAGTTCGGTTCATGCCTTGTGTAACCAGAAGATTAAGGTTTTGGAAGTTGGGGGTTCTGAAGGTAGCGGGCTTGTTCATGAGTGTGAGAAGCATTTTGGCACTGGCTCTGCAATGTGGCTGTCTGATTGGAACGGTGGAGACCTTGAGAGCTCTCGCGGCCAGGAGTTTGTGTTGAATGCGATTAAGGAACATCAACCCCTTTGTGTGTGGTTTCGACCTGACACGTCTTCCTTCTCACCTGTTCAAAAGATGAACCAGAAATCCCCTGAACAAGCTCAGAGGCTCCAAGCCAAGCAGACTCAAGCCATGCGACAGTATGAAGGGTTTGCGCAAGTTGTCCGGGCAACAGCCCAGCTCGGCATCACTTGTATGCTGGAAATGTCCGACAGTTCCCCTGTGTGGGAGCAGTCCTGGGTTCAAGAGCTTCAGGAAGCCATAGGCTTGTGTAGGGGCACGTGTCAGGGTTGCCAGGTGAATCTTCGGAACTATCAAGGTGCTTTGTCATGTAAGGGCTGGGGTCTTGCCAGTACGGATGGAGGTTTTGTTCAGACCATGTCCTTGGTGTGTGATGGTAGACATGCTAAGTCCAGGGGTTGTGGTCTGGGTCAGACGTGTCAACGGGGATATCCTCGGGAATTTAGTCGTAGGGTCCTTCGGTTTTTGGAACGGCAAGGGAGTTGGTTTGAAATTGCGAGGGATTTTCAGACGTCCGGGGATACGTGTTTTGTTGTTGAGGGCTCAGAAGAGACAGAGCCAGCAGCAGGGCTGGAGGACATTCCAGCTGACAAGAGGAGGCACATTTTCCAACATCTCCGTCGGATCCACTGTGCGACCGGTCATTGCAGTAAGAAGTACTTGAAAGACAATCTTAGGAAGCGTGGAGCTAGCAAGGATGTGCTGCGATGTGCTGACCATTTCTCATGTGATGTGTGTGATGAGCGGAGTAGGCCTGACCCTAGGAGCCAGTCTACTTTGACCGAGATTCCCCCAAAGTGGCATACGTTACAGTGTGATGCCTTTTCTTGGAATCATCCCCAAAGTGGAGAGAAATGGCAGTGTATGTTGGGTATTGATGAGGGTTGTCGACTTAGGGTTGGTCGTGTCCTGTTCCAGCATGCTAGTAAGACCCCTAGTGCCCAAGATTTCATTGACTACTTCGAGGGACACTGGATGCCCAGCTTTGGGAAACCACAGGTTCTGCGGCTTGACCCCGCAGGCTGCTTCAGGAGCAAGGCCCTTGATCAGTATTTGGCAGATCGCCAAATCGAGGTCCAGCACATACCCGCCGAGGCACATTGGCAAATCTCCCTTGCGGAAAGGTCAATCCAAACCTTGAAACACATGATGACCTCCTTGAAGCAACCCCACATGAGCACTAATGAGGCTTTTGCTAGGTCAGTGTGGGCTAGCAATAACCGGGATCAGTATCTTGGGTATAGTCCCCTCCAACATGCTTTCGGAAGGGCCCCGAATGAGTTAGGACAACTTGGGGAAAGTGTGATGCGGGATGTTCCGGTGTTGACCGAAAATGGGGTTTCCGCGGAGTTTGGAGTTGATGTGAGGGCAATGTTGACGGCGGAAAAAGCTTTCTTAGAGGCTCAGGCGAAAGAGCGTCTGCGGCGAGCTGAGCTGTCCGGGAGGCGAGGAATGCAACAATTCTGTCCAGGCGATCTTGTGTACGCGTGGCGGCGCATGACACCGAAGCATGATGGAAGCAGGCATTTCAAGGGCGGCCAATTTGTTGGGCCCTATCGTGTGTTGGCTACTGAAACTCGGGCTACTGGAGATGGCGAGTTACGGGCCAGTCATGTGGTGTGGTTGTACCGGGGTGGGCAGTTAGTAAAGGCTTCGCCTCAACAGCTTCGGCCGGCAACGGCTAGGGAAGAGTCCTGGTCCGAGCTTTCCGATCCGACACCCATTCCATGGACCATATCCGACACTCTGAGAAAACAACCACCACACCAGTTTGAAAACATCACCGCCGATGCCGACCACATGCCGGCAACCATGGAGATTGAGCAAGAATACGAAGAGAGAAGAGAGAGGACTCCTCGTAGGATCACCAGAAAACAAACTCCTGGAGTAGGCCAGTTTCAGTCTGTGAGATCTGAAGCCAGCAAGCGAGGTAGAAGTAGTAGTGAAAATAGTCCTGTCCCCCCAACCTTCCAAGCAAGTCTGCGTGAGCACCGGAGTCGCAGTAATCCGCTTCGCGGGACCGCCAGAGGCTCAGATGACCCAATGGGAACAGCTAACTTTTTAGAAAGTTGTGGGGTGGTGTTTCCGGAGGAAGAAAACGCTTTCTGGGCAACTGACCGGCCCGCTGTTACGTTCTCTATGGAGCTGCCTAAAGTCCATACGCGTCAGGGCAAGGAGTGGGTTCGGGATATGGGATGCTTCTTCGTGAAGCAGCTTCGCAAAAAAGCGATCGAAATCTCCGAGCGCCAACTGACTCCAAAGGAGTTGGAGGGCTTCAGACATGCCAAATCAAAAGAAGTGAAAAATTTTATTGTTGCCAAAGCTTTTCAGGCTTTGCCTTCACATTTGAAACCCACTAGAGATCAGACTTTGAAAATGCGGTGGCTGTTGACTTGGAAACTTGACGACAATCCAGGACCTGACGAGCCGTTAAAGAAAGACGCGTCAGGTAATCCGTTGAAACCCAAAGCCCGAGCCATCGTACTCGAGTACATGGACCCATTGTACGAGTTCAGACCTACCAGTAGTCCGACTATGACGAGGTCTACGCGACAGTTGTTCCTCCAGAGCTGCGCAAATGCTGGATTCACAGTAGAGAAGGGGGACATTTCGGGGGCGTTTCTTCAAGGAGATGATTTTGGAATGGATCGTCCGATGGTGTGTGAGCCTTTACCTGAAATATGTCAGGCCTTGGGGGTGCCCAGCAACACCCCCATGCTCCTGACAAAGGCTGCGTATGGCCTGGTCGAGGCCCCGATCCAGTGGTTTCTCTCCATTTCCAAATTCCTGGAGAGTATTGGAGCTGAGCGACAGCTCTCAGATCCCTGCTGTTGGGGATTCTTCACGTCTGAGCGCAAGCCCATTGGATGGGTTTGCGGACATGTTGATGATTTCATGTTTGGTGGAGACCCGAACGATCCTGAGTGGACTGCCATTAAGGAGCGCATCAAGACGCGCTTCAAATGGGGCCAGTGGGAAAGTGGCAAGTTCTTGCAATGCGGTGTACTCATTGAGCAGCAAGGGACAAGCTTCTTGCTCAGCCAACCAGAGTACTTGGATGCTATCAGTGAGATACATGTGTCTCGCTCGCGTTGGAACGAGATATCTTCGCCAGTGACCCAGCAGGAGATGTACCAATTGCGAAGCGTGCTGGGCGCCTTGTCGTGGCATGCGAATCAGGTTGCTCCGCAATGGTCAGCAGCTGTTGGTATGTTGTTGTCAAGGTCCAACAAAGGAACTGTTCAAGAAATCATTGATACTAATAAATTGCTTAGACGGGCTAAGTTGAGTCAACACCAGAAGCTTCGCATTCATGGGTTCGGGCATGAAAACCCAGTCCTAGCCGCTTGGGCAGACGCAGCCGACTCGCACCGTCCAGATGGTGGCTCGACTAAGGGAATTTTCATTGGCTGGACGCAACCCGCTTTGCTCCAGGGGGACTTGTCGCAGATCAGTCCTATATTCTGGCAGTCGGCCAAGATTCAGAGGACCTGCCGGAGCTCCGGGGCAGCTGAAACGCATGCAGCAGTGGACGCAGAGGACGAGCTGTTTTCCATTCGTTTCCAAACTTTTGAGTTTCTAGGGGGTCAAGTTTCCGTGTGGAGGTGCAATGATGCTGTGATGGCTGTGGATGGTGTCTTGATAAGTGATAGCACTAATTTGTATGACCGTCTGCATCAAACTGTTCTTACCTTAAAGGGAGCGGAAAAGCGTACTGATATCGAGACTTTGTGTCTGAAAGAAAGCATGGAAGCTACAAACCTTCAAGTCAGATGGGTGAATGGAGATAGTCAGTTGGCTAACTCGTTGACGAAAGCCCAAGAGCCTCATCAGATTATGGAGTACTTCCGTAGGAATGGGTGTTGGCGAATTGTTCATGACTTGGAGTTGATTTCGGGCCGTAGACGGAAACAGATGGGTCTGGGAGCCTTGGATACGAAGCAGAGTGGATCAGACGTTCCAAAACGTCCCTAATTTTTTTTTATCTTGGGGACGTGCAAGCTTGAAAAGCTTGGATTGCTGAGACATGCAGTCGATTCCCAGCACCGTTGGTCCGAGACAGAAAAAGGACAAGCAGTGTGCTAGCCAGTGGCCGCCTCAGCTCATTTGCACTGGGAAACCCCCATATTGGGGTCGTCCGGCAGGTTGATCTTTTGGACCCTGTTGTTTTGGATTTCTATATGTGTCCCTAAACTTGGGTAGCTTCTGCCTGAAGGTATGCTCTTGTGGACTATGAGTACCAGACGGATGATGGACGCCCACAGTCCAAGTTGTGCTTCTTCTTCTGGTCGCCGGATGACAAGATTTTTGGCAGCTTTCAGTTCGGAGTTTAGGGGTTTATGGGTTTAGGGTTTATAGTCCCCCTTAAGTAGATAGAATATGGCTTTGGGTACATTATAAGAAAATCCCCATATACCCCGTATTCTATCTAATCTACTTAAGTGGGACTATAGCCGTGTAGGGTTTAACTCCGACATCTTGGCTTTCTTGGGGCTGCGAGGAAACGTGTCACGGGGCAGCTGTCACTGGGGAATTTATGATCAGTACTTGTAATCCAGGCGCGGCTGCATCAGCCATCAGCCTCCCGCCAGCAGACATTCAACGCCATATAGCCCCCCCTGTACAAAAGCGCGTCTCATTTCTACAGGCGGAGTTTCTTCAACCAGGTCTGCTGTATGTTGGGGGGCGGATAAGGCAGTTGCCCCGCCACCAACCCCCTTGGACTATTCGGGGCTTAGCAAGCTGGGTTTCGCGCTCCTGCCTCCCGCTTACCATTCACTCGGTCTATTCGAGCTAAGCTGTGCTTCACCGCAGGCTCACTCATGTCTTTGACTCATCGCTTCTCCTGCTGATGCATCTCTGGCTTGCCTAATTTCCCTCGTCCTGCTTGTGTCCCTTCCCTCTCTTGGCTCTCAAGTTGTCAGGGCTTACCTTTTTCATTGCTGCGTTCCTGCTCCGTCTGGCGGCGTGGTATGCATTTTTCCCTGTCTTGTCGGCATATGTAGTTGTGTGCCAAGCGCTGTGTCCCATTGTCCGCCAGTATTCTCAGCCTTGTGCATAACTTGTCTTGCTTCTGGGCTTCCAATGATACACAAGGAGTCGTGACTCTCAACTTTCCTGTTGTTGCATTGTCGGTGAAGTCTTGCTTCATATGTCTCGTCCTGGCTTGCGGCCCGCGCTTTTGTGCGTTGCTGGCCTTGTCGTCCCTTCTCGTCTGCTTTCTTATTCTGTCTCGTAGCATGGTGTTCTCGACCTTGCGCCATTTGCATTGACCTGTCGGCGTTTGTGTTGGTGTGCTTAAGGCCCTGCCCCTGTGTTTTCGGCTTTGTTTCTCAGGTGTCACCTTGTTTATGTCTTGTTTTGCTTCGATTTGTGACAAGCCGCTTCATTGCTCTGTTCGACGACTTGGCCTGCACCGCTTGGCATGTCTTGGTTTCGCTGCAAGCTATTTTGCCCAAATTGTGCGCCTCGTTGTTTTTCTGGGCTCTGGCTCTGTGAACTTTAATGTGGCCATACGCCTTTTGCTCTATCCTGGTTTCGGCGCTGACTTCTGTTCACAAACCTTGACACTTTCCTGTGTTGCTGCGCTAGTCTGGGATCAGCCTTGCGGCTTAAACCTTGCTGCGCTATTGCTTTGGTTTTATCACATGATTGTGCTCGTGCTCATTTCTCTGCTGAGTACCCTGTCGCCAGCCTCTGCTTCTCCGTGACTTCCTGCCCTCGACAACCGGCCCGCTGGCTGCCATCCATCCATCCATCCATCCATCCATCCATCCATCCATCCATCCATCCATACGTCCACATGTCCATCCTTAGAAGCCTGGCATTCGTAAACTGCTCTGCCGGATGCCAATTCGAAGCAGAGATTAGAATGGGTTCGACAGAGGCACTGGGTCCCCGACATCATCCTTATTCAAACCCTGTGCACGTCCGTTTGCACCCCACCCTATCTGACTCTTCCATCATCATCCGTCTGTAATTCATAGCCAGACGCCTGCACAGTTTCCACGCAGAACCTTTCAGCAATTTTGCAAAGGGCCCTCTTTGTGGTGTTGGGTGAGCGCAGTACATGATCCAATTTCCGATTCTTTTACACAAAAGGAGCTGTTGATGTTGAAAGGCTCCACAACTCTCACTATTTGCCAAGATAATGCTTGTTTGAAAGTGAAAGAATCGCTTTGCTGCGGATTTCTCGTTTGTTTTTCTGCCCGAGCCCCTCTCAAAAATACACCTACACAAAACAGAAGGCCTCACATCATTCCTTTCTGGGCTGGCGCATGACTGAAAGTGTCTTAAACCATACAGCTAAAGATTTTATCTCTTCATCCTCTACACATGAAACTCTAGAACCCCCTCAAACCCTTAACCTAGAGCACAGTTGCTCAAACTCTGAAACCTGAAAAAAGACAACCTAACCCCGAAGCTCAGGACCACCGTGAAGGATCGAATGGTCTACGCCAGCTCAAAGGCCCAGGGTATCCAAAGAGCCCACAACGAAGGGAAGGATTGTAGGTGCAGGATTCAGGGGTTTAGATCGGGGACGAGAGTTCCGGGGTCTCTCCTTCCGAGCCTCAAGCAGAGGTGGTGTATGCGTGTGCAAGCCTCCTATGGCATACTCGTAAATGTCATGCTTGCTGTCCTTGGTCATATGTCAACTGTGGCAGTTGTCATGGTTTTCAGTTAGTACGCACATGCTCTGTGTGATTCAAGGTGGCTCAAGACCTGCTCTGGAAGCAAAGAATGCATAGCCAAGAATTCCAGTTCAATTGAAGACTTGAAGAGGATGGCCTGAAGAAGAAGTTCCCTGGAATCATGTGCCTTGACCCGCACAAGGCAGCCTGCTTCCCTCGGCTTGTGGGGTTTAGTTGCGTATTTCAGTTTGCGGTGCGATTGCTGGTGTTCTTCGGTCACCGACCGGAGACTGAGAGCTCTTGACCCAAGATCTCTAACGTGATAACGCACAAACCTTAATGCCTACACCCCCATGCCCAGAAAGCTTAAACCTCGCTGCTCACAAGGCTCATCCTTAGCCCCTGACTGCCAACAACTTCAGAAGAGCCTCGCAACTCTCTGCAGTCTTGACTCACTTAAGCAGAGTGCAGGCAGCGGTTAGGCGGGCACTGGTTCCAGAAGTATTGTAGGCGCGACTCCCACTGATCTTAGGTGTAGGGATTGGAGGGTTGAGTTCAGACTGTGATTTTTGTACCATGTTCTGCATCACCATCCGCACCATCATCCTCATGACTGGCATCATGTCGTGTCTCACAGTTAAGGGACTCTTTCTAGGGATGGAGGCCTTTAGACGCGTCTCTAGCCCTATGAGGAACTGGTCACTTTGGGCCCCAGCTCCATCCCAGGCCTTAATCTCAAAAAGCAGCCAAGGAAGGAGGTTCAAGCCAACGACATGGGCGACCTAGATGAAAAGGAGGTTGTCAGCCTCATGAACAAGAAGTAAAAGGCACAGAGCATCCGGGGATCATCGGTCTAACCGAACTAAGATGGGGCATATGCTGGAACATATATAGCGGGTTCTGCAGGTACTACAGTAGGACATTTGTTCAGGTTGGGAGCATGAGAGTTTTGGAGTGTAGAGGTTAGGGCCCAGGGCCTGAGCTTGGGAGGTTGGAGATCTTTGGAAGAGGGACAAATCCCAGGTGCAATCCCAGCACTCTAAATCCAGGAGACCCCATTGATTTCCCAATATCTGTGGCCTCAAGCGCCGAACTTGCGAAGAAATCCACTTTTAACTTTAACACTTCCGTATGTCCCTGTTTCAGAAAGCCGGGTACCGATGCTAAGTCCATCCTAGGTAGACCTCATGGAGTGCCAGTATAGCACACGAAGCCGACAAAAGCAGCAGGTGTCTTTAAGACGTCGTTTATACAACTCCCTCTACATAGTCGAAAAATTAAGCTCCTAAAGCCCAAAAACCCAGGACTGAACCTTGCAGATCAGCAGCTGAAAGCTGCATTCAGCCTAAACCCTTCAAATCTTAAAGCTCCCGGATCCGTTTGTGCCCTGGGCCCTGGAGGCAGCACCCAGGAGGCCCAGCACAGCATCTGAGTCAGTGCCTAATCTGTACGTCAGTCATGAGCTCTAGATGGCACCAGCCATTGTTGTAGTAATCAGGGTCGTAATAGCAGAGGAAGGAGAATATTTTTTTGGCAGCGAGGAGGAGCAGTAGAAGGTGTAAGATCTACTACTATTGTCTATTGCTGCTGCTGCTACTACTACTACTACTACTACTACTACTAGCACCACTACTGCTACTGCTGCTGCTGCTACTACTACTACTGCTGCTGCTCCTACTACTACTACTACTACTACTACTACTACTACTGATACTACCACCCTTACGAAGACGATTACTGCTACTGCTCCTGCCATGGTTGCTACTGTTTTTTACTGCTACAAATGCTACTACCTCCGCTATTGTTACTCCTGTCACTCCTGCTGCTGCTACTATGACTACGGCTACGACTGCAGTTTTAATTCCATGACTAGTACCATTGAATATAGGATTGGATTCCCAGAGGAGGTTTCAGCACATGAAGCATGAGCATCTCCGTGTGAGCCCTTGAACCCTAGGCCCTAGACCTGAATCCGTGGCACTGCTTGCCCGGTGCCAAAGAACAACAATTCGATACTTGCTTTTCTGATGGCTGACTCGGTCCGTGCAATTGAGAGCTGGCACACCCTAATGCCCTTGCACTGGGATTCGAGATCTGGTATGGTTCGAGGTTTCAGTGCTAGAGACGAGGGGAGGGTAGGTACCGTTTGTCCGCTTATGTTTCTCGGAAGGGGAGGTTTAGTGCATCTTCCGGGGAGAAGTCTGACAGAAAGGGATTCACATTTTCAGAAACAGCCCACGGCTCCTTAATTGTTTTTCCGGTCCTCACTGCGCTTTGCAGGTTAACTCAGGGTAATTTGCAAGTTTCTGTAGATGTGAAAGCTTCAAGGTGTCTCAAAGCCCCAGGCTGCATTTTCGGGGTCTTCATACGCACCACACAGGGGCGACATCGCGCAGCAGTAGGGCTTCTCCATTTGCAACACCCCTTTGCCTGCCCGAGGCTGGGGTTCTGGGGACATTGAAGAGTTAGAGTAAAAGTATAAGGGGAATTCGAAGACGAGGTCGTAGAGATCGTAGATAGATTTCTAAGGGAGCGACAGACAACCAACCCCCATACCCCTTCTGGCTGGGTGGGATGCCGTGGGACAGGGGCAGAATGCACTTCGCACAGCTGTATATTCAGATATACCCTCGTATATCCTCTCCATGTTGTTTCCTTAGTGTACCTTATCGCACTTTGCTGAACGCAAAGGCCCGAGAACTGTCAGTTCGGGTGGCATGGCCCGCCTCACAGGAAGCGACCAAGAAGGATCCCTAAAAGCGGAACCCCAAGTGCCAAAGGGTAGGGGTCCTGCCACATGGGACCTTCACAAAAGTTAGAGATTCCATTTGGGTACTTTGCTGGCGATTGCATTTTTGTTTTGTGTGCTGGGCCCTCTTTGGGTTTTACCACAAAATCAAGGGTCTGCTTGATTAGCACGAGGCTTCGGAAGCTCCATGGTGAATTTGAGGAAAAACGGAGCATTCAGGGACTCATCCCCTGCAACCCTGGAGCATAAGAGAAAATTCCGAATGCATTGGAAGTGACATCCTGAAATTGAATCCGTAGTTGATTCAAAGGCGACCTGAGGCAACATGCAGGACCTGAGTAACTTGAAAAGTAGAAGTATGCCTCATATTCGTTGCGGAATTTCGGTAGCTTGTACCCATTATCTACCTTGAGGCCATTTCCTCAGTTAGGCCCCTTGTCTTGGCTGAGTGACGAGCATCTTGGGGCTTGCCTTCTGGGATCTTTCTGACGGCCCGTAGCTTGCAAGCACAACTCACCGAGCGCCTCGCACAGACGGCGACGAAGAAAAGAGCTTTGCTTCGGGCTGAGATCTAATTTAGTTTATAGAAGGATTACGTAAGGAGTTTTCCCAGTTGGGTGAACAAGCAGTCATGCAAAACTCCCATGTGCCCCTGGCCGCAGCCGCGTTTTGGTCTCTTCCCTCCGTCCTGGCCGCCTCCCCCGTCACGCAAGATGGCACACCTCCGCCTTGAGAAGGACACTGCTGTGAAGTGTGCCTGTGAGAAAGGCCTACGCGGAGTAGGCTGTACTCCCTCGGGGTAGTTTCAGGCTTGTGTTGCGGCTGGCTCCCCAATCACAACTTGCAATGCGCTTTGTCAGCGCCCTCCATGTGGCTCTTTCCAAGAAAAAGCGGGCACCCCTCGTAAGCACCCCAGCATGTCTAAATTTGCCTTATGGAATCCAAAGCGGGAGCCCCAACTCCTGCAAGCCCCCTCATCGAAGTCCAGCAGATCCGCTTTGCTGGAGGAGCTTTTGAACTTGAGCGATGGCACCACCATTCGCATTGCCCGAACGCCTGGCATGGGAGACAAGGAGTCAGTGAGGGTGTGCAGTAAGTCAGGGTTTGGGATATAGGGGTTTCATGTCACAAGCGCACCAGGGTTTGAGCCGAATAATGCTGGTGCGGAGGAGCGCCTCCAGGTATGAACTCCTCATGAAAAGATGGTACCGCATTCTATCATTCCTTGGATAAGCCCAGGATCATTGTCAAAGGGATTCTCAAGTTAAGGCGAAACCGGCCTCCTCACCCCCATCCTCCATCTTGCGGGCAATTCTGTAGCTGTAGCTTCCCTCGCAAGGATGTAGACGAGATAAAAAAGAGCAGGACGTTTGACTTGTGTTTATAGGGGAAACCATTGGGTACGCTCGCTGGCGAGCTGCAAAGGAAGGACTAGCTTCGGTGTAGTTGCTGCGCATGGGGCCTAGGGAATCCCCGGGATCATATCCAGCCTTTACGATGTTTATCAGCTTGTGACTTTTGCATTGTGGTGCCTAGAAATTTAGCTGAAGCATTTCTGCCACTCATTCGTCTTCATGTGGCAAACCGTAGAAGCTGTCATTCATAGCAAGTGCATGGCATCCATAACAGGGTTGTCAGGCATTCTTCAAGTCTAAAGGCCCTCACACCCTAGTATTCAGCATTCCTATCAGGAACCTTACATATGAGGAGTCAGTGAGGGGGGTTTAATGCTAGGTAAGCTCTGTAGATCTTTTACAAATGTCCCCAGCCATCCTGATCATCCCCACAGATTTCTTGGGGCCCCCATCTCGCGACATACTCATATGAGGATTTCCATAAACAGTAGGTCCCAACATAAACCCCAAAACATTTCAATCCCTATCATAAGGCCATGTTGATGCCCTCCAAAAAGGGCCCCTCAGTCGTGGAAACTACTCTGTAGCTGTTTCAGATCTACAAAGCAAGCATGCCAAGTAAAGGATGAGCCATTCATTTCGATTTGGGGTTCAGGGTTTTGGGAGGTAAGGATTTAGCGTTGTATGAGGTTCAAATCTTACTGGAGTTTTTAAATAGCGTCCCGGATAGTTGAAGACGGTTCACCCTTGAGCCTGAAATAGAAGCACGCGGCAAAATATTGCTTTTAGAGGAGTTCCCATGTCCTTATGTATTTCAATATTTTGCAAGGGACACAAGTAAACCTTGGAATCCAAGAACCCTAGAGCCCTAAAATCCAAACCCTGAACCCGAAACCTTGCAACCCAGACAAACCCGAACCCTGAAACCCCTAACTCCACTTGGAGATCTGTGGCATTTAGCAACGACTTAACCTGCGCTTATTTGATTTTAGAAAGTGGTGTTACCCCTGTAAGGCCAGGTAGGTGGATTAGAAGAAGGATCATAACCGCAGTTATACCTCCTTACTAAATCTCGTGAAGTAGCGTTTTTGAAGGGAGCCTTGATAAGGGACCTTGCTAGTTTATAGCGGTTTTAGAAGGGTTGTCTAGGTACATAGGGGGTATACAGTAATACAAGAACTATATACGCTAAACCTGTGCTATGAACCCCATAATCTCCAATCTCTTAACCCCATTCCCAAAGCCCTAGACCTCACACCCTAAGTGCTAAACTCTTAATGCGGAATCTCTTAAACGCCCTAAATCCCCTAGACCCGACACACTATATCCCCTTCACACCCAAATTTCCGCCCTGGAGGAGTGGCAGGATACCAAGAAGTATCTTGAGGCCAACCCGGAGGAAGCCCGCAGGCCTGTAAGGGGCCACTATTCTGGATGACACATATACCTAGAGTACCCTGTATGAATGAGCTCGGGTCTAAAGTCCTTAAAGGGGGTTGAATAGGGGATTGTATAGGGGAGTACCACAGGCGGCACCCAAAACGGACCTTGTGCCGAATATTCCGGTGGCTCTACCTGCCTGAAGGAGGGTTGAGGGCTTTGAGGGTGTAGAGGTTTAAGGTCAAAGGCTGTGGGCTTGAGCGGCCTTGGGATTCATGAGTTTAGGGCTGTTGGGTTTGGGGATCGGGCTCAACTGGACTCGTTGAGGGCTCTTGGCGATTCCAACTGGCTTGCCTGGGCGACCATCCCCAGATGAAAGCTCTCACAGGGAAGGCTTCAACCTGGAGAATCCCAACACAGACCTGCTTACTTTTTCTTTTTGAGAAACATCGCCGAGCGTGCTCACTGCAAGGGGGCTCGGATGTTTTTCGTGTAGTGCATTGTTGCACGGAATGACATGTTCGAGCGACGCACGGCCGCAGGTGCGTTGCTCGCAGTGCTGTAGAAATTTCGAAATTAGAGACTTGCAGTGCCATGTCGTGCGCTCGTGGATTCGCGGAGCTAGCTGCTGCTGTGATCCGATCTGGGGTCGACCCGGAGTTCTTAGTTCAGCTCGAAGAAGATCAAGTACATTCTCTTTGCTTGGCAAGAGAGAGGCTCCAACAGGGTCACCTGGATGCCGATTACAAATCTTCCTTGCTGGCAGTCTTGGCAGCAGAGGGAATCACGCTTGGCGACGAGAATGACCCGCCCAAGAAGCGTTTGAGAAAGGACTTGCCGACAGATCAACCATCGCAGCGAGGGGACTTGAAAGGAGCTCTGGGCGCAGCTTTGCCTGATCAGCAGGCTGCGGCATTGTCGCGGCTCCGTGATGATGTTTGGGCACGCAGCAATGTAGCATCTGGTGAGGCCAGATGGCGCACTTGGACCAGGATCTGCAAGGCTTGGGCCATTGAACCCTTGCCTCTAACTCCCGATGTCGTGGAAAAGGTGTCTGCTTCCTTCAAGAATGGAGGGTACAGGAGCGCTAGACAGTACTTTTCGCAAGCTCGCCGCCAACATGTTCTTCACACCCACGCAAGTGTGCCGGCAGATGTGGAGTTGTACATCCGGGACATGATACGAAGCTTGGAGCGTGGCATTGGGGGTCCAGCGTTGAAGGATTCTTTTCGTCTTGAACTTCTGAGCCTACCTGATCCAGATGATGACTTGACGCTGGCAATGCGGCAGCGGGCGGCTGTGATCGTGCTTGGTTGTTGGTTCCTGTTGCGCGAAATCGAGGTGGCAGCTCTGAAAGTGAAGTACTTCGTAGTCGACGAGAAGACGCAGACTGTGCGCTTGACACTCCAATCTAGCAAGAATGACATGCAAGGGAACCTGGTGATGCGTTGCCATTCTTGTTATTGTAACGTTCTACAAACAAGCCTTTGCCCCTTTCATGTCGCGCAGGCATTCTACCACTTGCTCCCCAAGGACCCCGAAGCTCCAGCATTCTCTAACTTCCAGGGTGACGTGCTGTCCAAAGCAGAGACCATCCAGCTGATCCGCAGCTTGTTGGCTGACAACGACATCGAAGTCACTCGTGCCGGCATGCGGGGAGAGGTCCAGCGATTTGGAGGCCACGCTCTCCGCGTCAGTGGGGCGCAGTTCCTGTCTCGGTGCGGGGTACCTCTCCCAACAATTATGCTTATAGGTCGTTGGGGATCCAGAAGCGTGGAGCGCTATGTTCAAGAAGCGGCTTTGGACAACTTCACAGTTGCGGAGCCGCGCCGGCCAGTTCCTCATCAGCCTTGTGGGCAGCCAGATACTGATGCGACTCAAGAGAGGCAGCAGGTCCCGGATCCACAGAATCCGGCAGCGACTCTTCGCGTCGAGGAGACCCTCGCCGGCATCAACCAGCAGCTGAAAGACTTGGCGCTGAAGGTGGAGAACCTCCAGGAGCGACCAGAGCTCATCTTGGCAAAGAGAGCGCGTGCAAGAGATCCCAATGAGGTGACGCTGTTGCCTCTCACGTGGAGAGCGAGATGTGGATGGCCGTATGGTCGCGCTTCGTTTCGTCGAGCTTCTTGGGACACGAAAGTCCCGAAGTGCAAGAATTGCTTCCCGCCAGACAGCTCGTGTAGAGAGCGTGAGTCAATGCCTGACTCAGAAGGAGACAAGGCGAGATCGGACACAGAAGAGTCGTCTTCCGGCTCCGACAGCGAACAGTCAGGCGTGCCAGCCACAGACTGAAGCTTGACGTGCTAGTCAGGCGTGCATCATCGTAGAAATCGCTCCAGCAGTGAGCAGTCTGTCAGGCGCATGTGCAGAGCGCTGCAGTGAGAGCAATGGATGCATCGAAGTCTTGGGCAAATGCGTGTTGGCTGCGAGCGTGTCAAGTGCGTTTAGACTTGCCTTCAGGTAACGACTTTTCTTAGCCACATGCGTTGAAACATCCTGTGTTGGCAGCCACCGGTAGGTATTGATCCCAGCTGCGATTGTGAGTAATCTTGGTTCGTTGACCAGTTGCTTGTGAGTGTCGCGATTTGCCAGGGTACTGCCTGCGTTGACGTATGAGTCCTACCTTGCGCTGTGTGCCAGGGTTGCTTGCTCTTCGCGCTGATGGGTTCTTGAGCTTTGTAGGAGTTAGTCTTCTGGTGCGTGTTGTATTCTGATTTCCTTGCGTAGC